TTGGCGGGCGAAAAAATCGTGCAAAGCAATATGCAGCATTTTCGCCAACGAGCAAGAAAATCAACGGTGATTGTTTTATTCAAACAAAGCTCGAAATACGTGTTTAGGAAAATGAAAACATCTCATAATTCTTGTTAAAGAAAATCGACGCTACAATAAATGCTCACTTTTCCATACTTATTTAAACACTAAAATCATAATCATTATGGGGTTAAGTCCCGTACTCAATGGTTGTGCACATTACAGTTGATTTGTTAGGGGATCTATTTGAATTATAAAAATCTAAATTCTTGCAATGAAAATTTTAATACTAATATTAACATTGGATCCATAACAGCCATGAAAAACAATTGTTGATTTACAAGGTTTATAAAAAAAAATTAATAAATGTACTAGGTGATTTAAGAAAACGCACGATATCATATTGCTAATTTATTTGTATTCATAAGTTTATTCTTTAGAAAAAGACAAATTTTCATGGAGATCAAATGCTATGTCCATTTTTTTAAAAACACTTTTTATCCTTGTCTATTTTCATAAACACGCATCTTGAGTTGTATCCAGTATTAAAAAGCTCATCGAAGAAATATATTCCTTACTTTTTTACTCCATTCAGTAATTCCGTGAAAACCTTAAAAATGTTTTAAAGGAGTAGTTTCGCAGGATCATTGTGTATTATTTTCATTAAAAGAATTAAGTAATATGTTAATTAAAAAAACCGTAGGTACTATGATCATTTATTGGCTCTTCTTTAAATGAGGTTTTTTTGCATAAGCTTTTTTTTTATTTTTCATTAATATTTTTCCGAAAAGGTTTGTACTGAGATTATTTTGTCTGCTTGGAAAAAGCTTTTTGCTTAGTATTTTTGTTTACCTTATCATGAAAACTATGATAAAAATGCTAAACCAAGGTTAACCATTCGCTTTTTTTTTCCAAGCAACAATATTTCTTGAAAAAGCTTTACAAATAATTTTTTATCCTTTTAGAATAAAAGATTTGAAATTGCATTATTTTTGTCTTATTGATAAAATGTTTAGTGCAAACATTTTCGTGACTATAGAGAGAAAATTCCGAAGCAAGGTTGTCGTAATGTTAGATGCTTTCTGGGAAATGATCAGCTTTCGAGAATTATTTTGCATGGGGATGATATCTTGGTATTGATAGCTAGAAGAATCTTCTACTTTCTTGATAGGGATGCTTCGGATTTGGTTTAGCGGTGCCACTAAACAATGAGTTGAGCTAAACTAAATACAAAGACTGTCTCTGATTGCAATTCTAAAACATACAGAATCGTTTCAAGAGAAGCTCTACAGATACTTGCAGGTGCCATTTCCCTGCACCTGAAGGCTAAAACGGAGTCCACAGTGGGTAGAGTTAGAAACCTTATAAGTTATGGTCTTTGAAAGAGATTAGGAACTGGATGTTTCGAAACACGAATGAACACATCCTGCAGACAAGCTAAACATTGAAAGGAACTTAGAACTCCCTAAGGGTATAACAGACGCTAGGAAGAAATCTAAGCTTGACATCTAAACAGTCGCTAGCACGTTAGATAACCAAGATGCTAAGAACCTGATGTACTTTGTGATATTTATGAATGGAGAAGAGGTATTTTCTGAAAAAAGGAAAGACTTGCTGATGATAACACAATCTATCAAGCGATAACTACCCTCTGTGCTTTGATTTGGGCAGCAAAGAAAAATTACGAGGAATTGAACCTGTACTCGGACTCTTGCTGGGCACTACAGGCCTTATCACACCCAAATTCTACAGACGGCATTGTAAAGAATATCAAGAGGGTTCACAAAATGGGCATGAAATTGCACTGGTTTATAGCACATGTGAGTTATGTAGAAAACGAAAGAGAAGACGCTCGGGCCGAAGAAGCGACAAAAATGCCGACTATCACAACGACATACAAAAACACTGATCTACTTATTAGAAATGATTTAAAATATTTTGCCATTGCTCCTTGGCAAAGAAGATGGGAAAAGGGGGGCCTGGCAAGCAAGCAAAATGTCACTTCTTATATACTTTCATCCAAAAAGTAAACCTAAATAGATTAGAAGGAAACTTCATTATAAACCAGATCCTCGCAATCCACGGCATTCGCAACTACTATCAAAATCGAATGTTAAGAAAAAAACGCTGCAGTGTCCAAACTAAAATATTGGAGAGGATGTGCCACATGTAAAAAGTTTTTGCCCAGCATTTCATGACATCCGGGTGAAATACTTTCTTGCGAATAAAATGCAGACTCCATCTTTATACATGCAGTAAACAGCAGACTAAGGGGAATTAGTCTAAAATTATTCATTAAGTCAATTTCTAAAACATATTGCCAGATTTTCAGGCTTAGTCCAGATGATGAAATACCTGACCACAATGTTTTCTATGATTTCATCTGATCATGTTAGCGATGTGACCACTCTAAATACTCTTGTTTTGGTTCAAAACTATTTTAAAGTTATTTGTAATTTTCAACTGTTCTGATTTCATAACAAAATCTTAACTGCTTTCATTGATTGTTTGTTTTACTGCTTTTAACTATTTTGACATTAGTCAATTTATCTTATTTTAGATGTTTTTTATGTCATTTTAAACATGCGGTTTTATTCTGATGTTTTACATGTAAAACTTTACTGTCAACCTTAATGATGTTTGTACTTCAACTTCATGAGGCTTTGTTACTGCGTATTACGATTTGTTTCTGTCTTTTATTGTTTGTATTTTGCTTTTAAGAGTTTTCAATAAAGCGCAAACTTCGACTGTGCGATATTTCGGTTGGTATACTTTAGACGCAGTGTGGTGTCACCCCAGTGCGTCGCACCTAGGGATGATCTCCTGGTGGCCTGGGGGAGGTTTGTCCACAAGCACCACTCTGTAGCTTTGGGTTGCAGCTTTCGCTTGGGAGATTCATGCTTGAATCTATCGTTTGCTAGACTGTGATGGATTCCGTCCCACTTTCTCTACTGTTTCGCATTTCATCAGTGCCATCGTATACCCCTCGGGATGGCACAAAACTTTCGTCCTTTTAGACTCATATAGCCCCAATAAATTGGAGGAGAGTATAGGACCTTCACTTGCAATTGACTAGCTGAATACCAGCTCTTCAAACAGTGTGAATAAGTAGTTACTAAATCATAGTTCATCAGCACCGCAGAATCATCCACAAAACTAAAAGGTATATTTTTACACAATTATTAAAGCTCAAATCATTCCAATTTTTTCATATTTATTATTTATTATTTCTTAACCTACTCGTTGGCTTCACGTTTTTATATTAATTGTTTTTCTTATTATATTAAAATATTTTAATTATTGCCCGTGGTCGTATTGCAAGCATTTACCACAGTCAAGAATTTTCTTCCTGTTTATCCCTTTCGAGGGAACACCCATAGTCGATATCTTAATATTTATGTTTGCATATTTGAAACCTATTAAAATAGCAACAATTGCCATCATATTAGTAGTACTTGTTGTTAAAATTAATTTAGAATCATTGGATCTAACAAGAGTATTGTGAATTCGTTTGGTCCGATGGTATTAATCAAGATTCATTTGTGTTATGTATTAATTTTCCAAGAGAGGAAATTAAGAAAAGAGTCATTTATAGTGGTCATCTTAACTAAGGTGTCTTCTTGCTGAAATTGATATTATACGAACGGATTATTTTCCAATTTTCAGCATTGTGCATTCTAGAATTTCAAACAACTGGAATATATATATATATATATATATATATAAATATATTCCAGTTTTCATCTTTTGTTTTCATATTTTGTAATCTGGCAATCTTTCTGCGAAAACATTTTTAAATCATTCTTGAAAAATTTTTCGTCCATGTAAGTTGATCTGATTTTGCTACTCGCTTTATAGCCCCCTTTTAATCTTTTTTCTTTTTATTTCATTTTATTTTCTGTTTTTACATGTTATTTTTACTTTTTGTGATCTATTTTATTTATTGTTATTTTTATAAAAAAATTTTCTGAGTGCTCCTCACACTATTGTATTAATATATTTTGCTTTGGCTGTATTGATACAATATCAGAAAGCACTCTGTTTTGCGGATATAATCGTGTGGGCTGAAGAAAAGATTATATATTTTTTTTTCGGTTTTTTAAATAAAATGTCATTCTATTTTTTTTAATATATATAAACTGTTGTTTGATATTTTTTTACTTTTTATCTCCCCCCCCCTTTTTTTTTCATACGTCTATAATTTTTCTTTGTTTTATTCTTCATTTTGAACTGTATACTGAGCTGTATACTGAATACTGAATCAAATTGGAAGAAACATAATAGAATGCGCTTATCCCTGTGGCAGAGTCTTAAGCCGATGTGGTGAAAGCGAAATTTTCACAGAATGATCACGGATTCAACAATAAAGTGCAGAGGCCGGGACTTTTAAAATTACTTCATGTTTCACATAAATGTCTAATCTCATGATAAAATTTTTAAAAAAGCGAAAATTTCAAAACAAGTGTGGATTCATTAAAAATTGTTTTAATGTTTTTTTTTCTTATCTAGAAAAATAAATAAATAAAAAAATGTTTTAAGAGTCAAGTATTTTATCATTCGAATATTTGTAGAACATTGTCAAAAATTGAGAAATTTAATATAAATAAATATTGCTTTAGTTTTATCGGAATATTCAAAGTGTTTCCGAAAAATGCAATAAAAAGAGTTATGAAAATGTTTATACACTTCTTTATTTTACTAATAAACTTCAAATTAAAACCAAAATTAAAATATGCACGATATTGCATAAAAGTACATCATATTAAAACATTTTGAAAGATTTTTTTTAAATTTAAAAAGTTATATTTTTGAAATTCTTGATAATAATTCTTATAAAATTCGTTTGTGATATGCATTTTTAAACTTTGTTTTTATTATTAAGGATAGGCGCAGATTCTGTATTGTCAACTTCGATAGCTAATGCATTTTTTACGACATGAATTCATTTATATCAGTCAATAAAAATATACTCATATAAATGCTTGCAGAAAATATATATTTATTGATATTTACGTATGGCTAAGTACAAAATTTAGTTAAACTTTTTTCCCAACAAATATTAGCTGTATTCATACATAGTGAGAATTAATCAAAGTCCATATTCATGATCCATGTTTTATTATTTCCTCTCTGAAAAAAATAAGTAAAGCAATGTTACAGACATTAAAGATAACTAGTATTTCATAAACAAAAAGTAATTACTTAAAAATTAATAATGTATTTAATTTATTTATTTATTTTAAATAAGACATTGTAATTAGTTTAATTCTTTTATTCCCAATTGGAAAATGATTAGTTGTAATGAACCAACATAAGAAACAATATTTCGAAAGTATTTATATTTTGAAATATAAACAAGGAGTTAAAAATTACTTATTAGGATGCCACACCGTGGAAGATACATTTAGTTTAACATTTTCTTTCACCTCCATACCTAATTCAAAATAACAAGTCTACAAAAAATGAGTTAAGATAAACCTGGAGTAAGCCGTGCAGTTTCCAACACTGAAAAGAAATTTTGAAAATTTCAAAATGAAAACAAATTGCGCAATACTCGTCCAATAATCTATTTGAATTATGATATATTGAGCATTTTTTCATCAATTGAACCTTCATGGTTTACTATAAGTTTGACTGAACTCATTTTTTCTCCAGTGTTTTCCAAAACTTCTTTTTTTTTCTCCAGTGTAATGTTGCAATTTTAAAAAAAACTCCCTACTTTCTAAAAAACGAGATGCAATGTATATCCAAATTTGGTGTTTAAATAATGAATACTTTATTCTACGTTAATACACAATCAAGCGGTCATGCGCATACACTGTTAGAAGTTTTATTCTAAAATTACGATAAAATAACTGGCAGCAGTCTATTCAGTTAATCATAAAGTTTATGTTTAGGATTTTTTTTTTACCTTTACGGTTTAAGAACCGTTTAGAACTAGCATAGTTCCATAAAATTAATACGTCAAGAAATAATGAAGCTCTGAGAGTGCTTTTCCATTTATGCTCTAATAATAGTTTCATATTCTAATAGTCCAGCGTCAACAATTGAAGAGTGCAGTGCTGTATACTGGAAACTCTTTATGTATCGAAGAATTTAAAAAAAAAATATTGTAATATTAATGCTGTGATTCAAACCCCGGTTCAGTCATTCATGAGATTGATAGGTTTGCCCTCTCAGCTACAGTATGCATAAGGCTGCATGGAACGAAATGGCTATAGAAGGTGGTCCTATATCATGCGGATATAATTCTGGTTGTTTAATCATATTAAAAAAATAATCGATGAAGCTTTTCTCTCTCTTAACTGTTTGAATATCATATTTTTTTACGGTTATTTGATTGATTTGGCTGAATGTGGTAAAATAACAATGATATGAATTGCTAATTAGCAGTTTTTACCGTGACATTTCTAACAGTGTATTAAAGGACGGGTCTAGATCTAAAAGCCAAATATTGAGGTGTGTGCTTGATTAATATGAACTTATACATCATTTGTGTGATGCACATACTTATTTTTCAGACAATATGCTCTCTGTTGATATCAAGAATTCATTTAAGCAGAATATAATTCATCATTATTCGAAATATATGGCATTTTAAATTATTTAAATACATTTAATGATGTATTAAATATAACAATAACGTTATAGATTTAAATGTAATAATTTATTTCCTTAAGAGATGATAAATTTAAATTTGGAGAAAAACAGTCATCACTAAGTAGAAAAGATGTCAAATATCATTAATTGTCGAAAATTTCATTTTGTTTTTACACAATATTATTACGAAAACGTTGAACACAGTTACTTGTTTTAAAAATTAAATGGAAACTTACTTTACAAGATTTGAACTGATTATTTTAAATAAAAAAACAAATGTAATTGGCTACTCTTATTACATATCGTAATAGATAAAATTATTCACCTATAGTTTAGGTCATATTTTCTTAACCGCCAAAAAGACCACCAAGAAGACCACCGCCGTTCTTTTTGCCACTGCTACGGTCATGTACGTATCCTTTCTTTCCACGTCTTCCATGAATACCTAGAAAATAAGAAATAATATTAAAAGAATAGTTAACTGTTTCTTTATACACTCTTAAAAACAAAACAAGAAAAGGAATCTTAAGTAGTTATATAAAACTCGATGTTTCATTTGTCCCTATTGTGTATCCGTTAGATTCTCATATATTCTTGTATTTCTATACCGAATCACACGAATCAAATAGTAATTATTTATTGTGATGAGATTACCTTACAAAAACATGTTTTGTTTAATCTGATAACATAAAGCTGCAGGGAAGGACAACATATAATAAAAAATTTAGAGGAATTGTTTTAGCTTGATTAACTGGGTCGATAGATGTCTTTCTGTTTCGTGCATGACTTTGGAGTGCTGATTAATATAGATTTATAGATCATTTATTTTTTTCACTCAGTACAAAAAACGGATATTAAGCTAGTTTAAAAAAAATGTCAGAAGACCAATGCGATAGCTTTCTGACCTTCATGACCTGAAAAATATATGTAAAAAGGCGAAACTTCAGATACCTTTTTCGTACTAAATAAAAAAGAGGTATTTGAAATATCTGCTTATTTAATTTATTTGAAAGTTACAACTAATGTAGCGAGAAACAAAATTCAAGTTTAAAATATGTATATAATAATTTCTAGGTGCAACTCATATATTATTTTGGAATTATGTGAGTTACAGTAAGTGAAATATTATAACTATTATTTAGATAAAGTTATGAAATAAAATATTTTTTTTTAAAATGTAAATTAAACAAAGTTTTTAAAATTTTACCATCACTGACTCCACCTATAAAATAAGTTGTATTGATTATGAATAGAAAAGTAATGATTTCGCAGTTTATTATTATAGATAAAATTTAAAATAAACTTCATTATTTTAATCAAAGTTAGAGATTAAAATTATTCATGCATAAATCAGATTGTTATTTTACTACGGAGAAAATGTGCAAAAATTTAGCATTTTAGGAACTATTTCATTAAATATGCATTATATCAGTTGTACATATTGATTATTCTTGAAAACTGCGAAATATTTTTGAATACGCTTACTTTCTATTAAATATCTATGATATATGATAGCGTTTTTCGTTTCTAAATCAAAAGAAGTTCAAGAAAATATCTTGAAATTATTTTTCTTTAAAAGTGAAAGCTAATGTTTTTAAAATAATGCATAATATCTCACAATACATTAGAAAAGTGCAGAAAAAAATAAATTTGAACTTTTAAAGCATCCTTTTTCAAAACAAACTCACACTTTTCAAAACAGATTCAATCAAATAAATAGTTTATAAGCTGTTTATTACGAAGATCACTAAAAAAAAGGATTAAGAAAACCCTTAAAAAATGCGGATTTGTTCTACAACCTTGTTTGAGGTTGCAAAACTCATTCCCATTTGGGGATTGAACATGGTTGAAAAAAAATTATAACAGCTCTTCAGAGTAATGCTTTTAAAAGCTTTAATTTTCGACTGATAGAACTAAAAACACTAACATTTTTCTTCATATAAAGTTCAAGTAAGGTAAAAAATCAATAATGCAACTAAAACGAATAATTTCTAGCTTGTTAGAAGGATTAAACTGCTAAAGAAACTCTTCAATTAAATTAGGCATTTAATAAATTCGTAAAGATAAAAATTTTAAACTTTAATTCCGGATTATTGTATTTTTATGAATATATGGTTTACTTACTTGTAATTGCACCGAGAGCTAAAATAATTAGAGAAAATATTAGAAATTGTTTAACAAATCTTAGGACACTTTGTAAATAAATGAGACTCATATTTAGTAGAAGGGTTTAAGCTTTTTGTGCGACATTGAAATCTTTTTTTAAAAATAAAAATATGGAGTTTATAAAAAGTATATTATCTCCAAAATTACGAGTCATATTTTATAAGTTTTGATATCATCATATGATTATATAAAACAAAAATAATAACCATTCAATAGTTATGTAATTAGTTATATGATTGTGCATAACACTAAACAGACTTTAATCGTATCAAAGAGTTTTAAAGAAATGAATTAAAAAAGATTGTTTAGTAAGGATTATGGTCCCCTCGTATAAATTTAAAGCGATTACAACTTAATTTCATATTGGTAATAGGGTAGTTTATTAATCATTCTGTTTCACACGCAGAATTGATCTCGGAGATTAAACGTGCTGCAATTGCCCTCTCCAAGGCGCCCCAAGCATGCTTTATTAAATTGAGGTCTGGAGATCTTGTTGGTTAACCTGATCCGCGAAGATTTTCATTTTCCAGAAAATGGTTGACCAGAAGAGTTCTGTGAGGTGCAGCGAGTTCTTAGTTTTTCCATATGAAAAAAACACGTCCAGAATCTGTGGTTGAATGCTCTCTTCATTGATGAAGGGAGACTCCTCAGAACATAGAGGAGAATATTATACCATTGATGCATGCTCCAATCTCTATGATCTCGGCATTATTTTAACGGGACAGGCAGAAGTCAGCGGTAAAGAAAGAACAGATTTTCTTGCAAGTGCCTTTTTCTCATAAAGCCTTTTGGAATCAGTAGCACATGAAACTTAACTAAAAGTGTCCGTGTAAATATCATCAGCGAACTTGCAGCATCTCTTTTATTCCATTAGATTTGAGAATAGCCTGTTTCAAATTTCCCTATTAAGCGTCACGTCATTTCCCAATTTAACTATAAATGACTACTCATTTTAGGTGTTGAAATTAAATTAAAAGACTCAGTTAAGTTTTCTGCAAAAAAAAAGAAGTTTAGCAGAATGTACGAGCGAAAGAAATGTAGATTTTGCCTTGCCTGCTTATAATGTCCATTCCTCTTCAACCCTACACAACCTCTTCAACCCTTCAACCCTATACGCTTACGTACCAAACACACAAGATTTACTTCCTTATTTTGAAGCAGTTGTTATACATTTTACTCAGTTATTTTCAAATAATTATACTGAATATGAAAAATTTTCTAATTTTGTACACCAGTGTAAGACTCAATCTTGTTAGCTCAAAGAGGTAAACACAAATACGTTAACTGACGCAGATGGTATTTTAAGATACGAAATCAGACAGAATATTTTACTTTTTCCGAATAAACATAACTTTTTTTTAAACACCTGACTTAATTATCTTAATTTTAAATATCTGACTATTTAAAATTTTATTTGTCAGCCAATACTTTACAAGTAAGAAATTTTTCATCATTAAATAAAACAATAAAAAATTATTTGAAATTAATCTTTATAGGGGAATAATCTTTGGCTTAATGAATTTGATTAGTGGGAGTAATAATTTTTTGATTCGCTTAATAAATCCTTGAGATATGGTGAAATATGCACAAGAAAACTTAATATTATCAAGTCCAAACTTTCAATTGGTCCCCTGTTTATTAGGACTATATATGTATGCCCTGACTATTATACGTCGTATGTTTATTCAGAGAAACTACTTCATTTGGTCTGATTTTGTATTTTAAAATGTTTTCAGCATTGCGTCATTAGCATATGAGAGTTTCCCCTCTTGAACCCTCAAGATTAAGTTCTAGTATGTAAAAAGTCTATCATTTTATCAAAGGCAATATAATACATTCTTTTTAATTGATTAGATATGCACTTATCTGCCTTGAAGAAATAACACTTAAGTCAAGAAAAATGACCAGAACGTATTATATCATAAACTGAAATGCATTGTATACTTCTTTCTAGCACAGCTTATGCTACCCAGAATTGGGGACAATTAGTATTCTTTCGAATACAGGAATTTTTAAAGAATTCTGGCTAAAAATACATTATGAAATTACATAAAAACTGCAGAAAGAAACCACTTGCAGAAATCACAAATATGAAATATCAAAGATCTGTTCAAACATCTAAAGCATCAGAAGACAAATTTCCACTGTAATGTATTGTTATTATATCAGAACACATATTAGTTAGTAGCAATAATATTCAAAAACCTCTCAACATGTTAAATAAAACACAAATATTTTTTTTCCTGCTGCTATAATTTATTCACAGCTTCTGAACTAAAAATACTAAAAATACAAGTAATAAGAATTACCATTTGTGCCAGCATCTGTTAAACAAGGAAAATAAGGTGTTAGTTATAGCAATTCATTTTCCAGTGTAGTGTTGCACGCTAAATCAACTTGAGCAGTATTTATTCTGAATCTTATTTATAAATGCATTCATTGCCTTTTATGGCCAAGAATTTGCCCTCTGTTCTGATTTAAAACTTGGATTTGTTTTATAAATTCAAATATTTTATTTTATTTTTTATTTATTTCCAATGAGCTGCACAATCGGTCTTGCCGATGAGCAGACCAAGTGCGTTCTCCAGAGGTGGTATCCACTCTTTCATGACCACCACAATGGGTGAGATACATTTGGTTACGTTAATTTGGACGTCTAGTTTCTGCCACACTAGATGGCAGCAGCTAGACTCTATTAGGATGCTAAATTGCACTAGGAATTTAACTTTTGCCGGAAATGCCAAGAGCCAATAAGGCACTCCAGGGATCTTTTACATGCCGCATAATCATACGACATAGCCGCTGAGGATTTTCTGCATCCCGAAAATCCGGTGTCTGGGCCGGGGATCGAACCCGCAGACTTGGGCTCAGAAGGCCGACGACAAACCAACTGCGTCACCCAGTCACATAAATATATATATGGTTTGCATTTCTTATAAAATGTTACCTTAAGTAGATTTTTCACAGATATTTAAATATACTTTTTAAATTACATGATCTTTAAATGCACTTACATTATTTTCAAATACACTTTATACACTTACATTATCTTAAAAAGCACTTCAAATATTTGTAAAAAATGGTAGTGTTTATTAATAATAACGACGTCACTGGTAAAACCGTGCTCTATACATCAAATTTAATTTAACCTCAGTTTATTCTTAATCTAAACCTTATTCTATACTAAAAACCTAATGTATTTTTTTTAAAAATAAATACATTATGTTTTTAGTAACTTAACTTTAAAAACTTATCATAGCTACTTGAATATAATTGCATATTTTATTTCAAAAAATTGGGTTGTATTATAGTATATAAAATCATACATTAAAAATAAATAAGAGCCGATAAAATTGATTTTGCAGACAAACTAGTTTGTCTCGTATATATAAAATTATCGCATCACTCGAGTATAAACAGTGGGCTTAAATTGAAACAATTTTTATAAAATTACGAAACTAAAGTAATTTCTAAAACAAAGATATATCCTAAAATGTATTTATTAAAATATCTTATGTCCGGTTTATTAATGGCATTGTTAAATCTAATAGTTTATCAGCATAGCAATCCAACTCATCTTTTTAGTAAGTGATATAAGTAAACTGAGAAATTTGATTCTCCATCACGACAACAAATATGTTTCTATCAAATTTAAATTGATTATATTACTTATACAGTTGCATTTTTATATTGTTTATTTTTTTAACCTTAGAAATATAATATTCAGAAAAATAAATTTATTCTCATATTCAAAGATAATAATTTTGCTGAGGAGCCTTTGAGGTGATTACAAGTTTAAAAATGTCAAGAACTAAAATATTTGCAATATTACTTACTTCCAAAGAAGCTTCCAGCTGTTGAATAAAAAAAAATTAATATCATTTTGGTCCATACTTTTTCCATACTGTTTAAGTATATGATAGCATTGAATTTTACTGTTCTCTATTTCAACTTTCGAAACTTGTTACGAGTCTAGTATGAGCTTTCAGTTGATACAAATCGGGAGCACATATAAGAATAACAATTCTGAATTAATTCTAAATGTTTTTAAAGTATTTTTTATCCTGTAGTAATTTTTTCACGAAATTCATTCAACTAATTTTTTATTTTATATAATTGCTATATTTCTACTACACCATTTCAACTAATCCAACTAGTTCATAGATTGTGCAAAAATATTTAGCAATTTATGCTAAAGATCATGGGAAATGCCTTACTTTTTGGAGAATAGCGATGACAAATTTTTTTTTTAGAAATCTTAAATATCAGTATTTTATTGTATGTTACAAATTTTGAATCGTGTGAATTAGTATTTTTTTCACTTTTAACACGTAATCAATTTGCTTGATTTAAGTTAAAAAAATAAATATACTACATTTGACTTTTGTAATAAGATTAATGAACTTATTTAGCTCTTCTTTAGCAAAATAGCAACTTAAAAATTATTTCAACACTAATCTTAGAAAAAAATTGCACTGAAATTGTTAGAAAATGTAAAAAAAATAAGAAAAAAAACTTACCGCCAGTTATAAATGCTGAAATGGAATTTATGAAAATGAAACAAAGTAATTTAAATGAAAAATGTCTCACCGTAGCACATGCATACCACTTAAAGTATAAACTGATCCAATTTTTACTTACTGTTTGCACCACTTAGGACTATGAAAGAAAATGTTTTTCATTTAGAATAAATAGTCTGATATAGAAACATTTTAAATTATTTTATTATAATGAAAACAGCACTTACCTGCGCCGATAAGATCTGTAAAACAAAAACACGAAATAAATGCATTGAAAATTTTGTATCATAATAATGTTTCCAAATTCATGGTATAATTTTCTTAAAAATAACAAATAAAAAGGTGGCGACAAAAAATATTACTAAACATACTCATTTAATACATTACACTCATATTTGAGAAATTTACATCTCCAAAAAGAATTATGTGACTCGGCCTAACTTACGTGAAACATAAAGGAAGGTAAGACATGCAAATGATTAGAATTGCAAAAGAATTATTCATGCAAGGAACGAGAAACGGCTCCTTAAGCAACCTCTGAAAAACTTCAAACATATGACTCTTAAACCTCTTCCCTATACCAGACACAGTATATATTTTAAGGACACGGAGAGGTGAGCTGGTATCCAGCATTATGTCTACCCATATCAGTAAACTTTTGCACCCTAATACTGAATTTCTCGAACATTCAAGAGCAGGCTGGTTCTAGTTCCATCCCGATAAAGATATGTCAAGAGTCATTGGCCAGATTAAAGTAGGACTCATCTGTGAAAAAACCATAGATCCATGCTCCTTGTCTATGATCTAGGCGAAATCCGACATAAACTATTCCGTTGTCAGAAGTCAGCAGGACGCAAACAGCGAGACTTCTTGCAAATAGCCGTTGCTCATGAAATCCTTCTGGAAAAAATAACCCTAGAAATTCGGCATGCCGCTTAGACTTCACCAGAGAGTTGAAAATCTTTAGTATGCCTTTAATCAAAAAATACCGATTTTCGCTAGATAAGTTTTCTTATGACAGATCCAGAATCCTGAAATTGGATTTCAGACTGACTTGTTTCAAATCTCCCTTCTATGTTCCTCCTCATTCTAAAATGTAAACATTTGTAGCTATTAATTTTTGTTGAAGTAAAATTAATAAAATTGGTTAAGCTTACTGCAAAAAACACTAAGAAATTCAGCAAGATTTGCGAGAGAACGAAAAACAGATTTTGCCATGCGTGCTTAGAGAGTCTATTCCTCTACTAAACCTACCTCCACGCACTAACAGTGCTTACGTCCATGACACGCATGATTTACATCTTTGTTTTGCAGCAGTAGTTTTAAAATACGTTTGGTTGTTTTTATAAAATTTGACAAAGTATGCAAATTAAGTATTTTAAACACCAGTGTATTTAAAGCATACTAAAGATGTGTTGAAATCTATTTGTTTTCTTCTGTCTGCCGTAAAAATTTAAATCGTGGTCAATGTGTTCTCATCTCTCATCGTAGGGATCACATAAAATTTAGTATTCACGTAATTTTAAAAATTCCTCTTTTTATTTTGTTTTATAAATTTGATTGATTGCATATGACTCTTAAACCTCTTCCCTATACCAGACACACCAGACACAGTATCTCTTTTAAGGATATGGGGAGGTGAGCGGGAATCCAGCGTTATGCCTTCCCAGATCAGTAAACCTTTATCACCCTAATACTGAATTTCTCGAACATTCAAAAGCAGGCTGGTTCTGGTTCCATCCCGATGAAGATATGTCAAGAGTCATTGGTCAGATTAAAGTAGGACTCATCTGCGAAAAAACCATTGATCCATGCTCATTCTCTATGATCCGACATGGACTATCCCGTTGTCAGAAGTCAGCAGGACGCAAACAGCGAGACTTCTTGCAAATAGCCGTTGCTCATGAAATCCTTCTGGAAAAAATAACCCTAGAAATTCGGCATGCCGCTTAGACTTCACGAGAGAGTTGAAAATCTTTAGTATGCCTTTAATCAAAAAATACCGATTTTCGCTAGATAAGCTTTCTTATGACAGATCCGGAATCCTGAAATTGGATTTCAGACTGACTTGTTTCAAATCTCCCTACTATGCTCATTCTAAAATGTAAACATTTGTAGCTATTAATTTTTGTTGAAGTAAAATTAATAAAATTGATTAAGTTTGATGCAAAAAACACTGAGAAATTCAGCAAGATTTGCGAGAGAACGAAAAGCAGATTTTGCCATGCGTGCTTAGAGAGTCTATTCCTCTACTAAACCTACCTCCACGCACTAACAGTGCTTACGTCCATGACACGCATGATTTACATCTTTGTTTTACTGCAGTAGTTTTAAAATACGTTTGGTTGTTTTTATAAAATTTGACAAAGTACGCAAATTAAGTATTTTGAACACCAGTGTATTTAAAGCATACTAAAGATGTGTTGAAATCTATTTGTTTTCTTCTGTCTGCCGTAAACATTTAAATCGTAGCCAATGTGTTCTCGTTCCTCATCGTAGGGATCAAATAAAATTTAGTAATCACGTAATTTTAAAAATTCCTCTTTTTATTTTGTTTTATAAATTTGATAGTTTACTTGTGCTATTATCTAAAATCTGGGGTATACGTTTCGTTAATTTATGTCAATTCATTGCAAATGCTAGAAACCATAGTATAGATTTTATCAAAACAATCCCTAGACTTTAAATAAAAGCAAAAATACTAGAGTGTCATATTTTGTATTATTATTTTCTTAATCTCTCAAACATACAAACAAATTGAGGAATGCGTTCATTATCATGAATTTTGAAAAATTACTATTTTATCGGCATGTAATTTCTCTTGAACTGCATTTTATCAAGCACAATTTTATTTCACGATGATATTAAAAAATTAATTATGTAAAATAACAAGAAATTATCTAAATTATTACATAAAGTTAGAATAAATTATATAAATTATTCGCAAATTACAAAGAATAAGCATTTCCTTTTGAAGCATTTTAAAATGCTTAACAAAAATTATTTTGACATATAAGTAGTTCTCTAGTAAAGGAATCAATTACTTACCACCTAATCAAAAAACAAAATGTAAGTGAATATAAATTATATTAAAATTTAGTTTATTTTCATGTTTTTCGAATAGTAATTAAACGAAAAATGTCTTACCCTTTCCAGCTAAGAAAAGAATTAATACATAAACTCCGTGTAGATCAGCATCATGAAAATGCAAGTTTACGCAAATAACCACATAAAAAGTTTTAGAAATATGCTCAGCTGTAGCAATATCTTGTTTAAAAAGTTAAAATAAAATTGCTGATAACTTTCATTTTAAAAAGTTGAATTTTTTTTTAAAATATTAAAAAAATTGACAGGCATTATAATAAAAAATTAGAGTTTGAAGGTTCTTTAGAGTTGAATTATTACTTACCTTTGCTTCCGATTTCTGTAATTGCAAATCTTATTATTAAAAAATGATTTTAACTAATTTTAATTATTTTCAATCAAAATTATTAAAATATAGCATATTTAAAATTATAAAATATATTAGAATAAATGTATAAAGGGAAACACAATTTGAATGCGTTGAGACAGAATACTTTTTGAGTGCTATTGCCTTTCTAAAGATGTATCCCGTTATAGAAGTATAAGTAATATTTCCTAATTTCGATGGTAATTATTACATAATTTTTATCATATTTCTTATTCACATCATGTTTATTACATCATATTATCATATTTATTGTTTACATTCACATATTGTTAACTTCTGACTAACGGTAGGAAATAATTCTCTGTGTTGTAAGTTTAACTTCCAAACTATTAATCCTCATTGCATAACACTAGAAAAATTGAAAACTGTCAAGAAAATCGAAGAGGGCAGTTTGGCTCATCCTAGATATTTTTAGTTCAAACCTCAAACATGCCTCTAAAATCAAAAATATGCTGAAAATAATTTGTTAAAGTTATAAAAGAAGCTGGATCATTTGAGATTTATCGGATTTCTTTTTATCTATATAACGAAAATGTCTGATTGAATGAAATATTTTGCGATTTTGTATTATGCTTAATTTTATGTTGCTCAGATAATCGAAACGTTACTCTCTAAAAAGCTAACAATTACGGATAATTATAGTAAGCAATCGAAAATACTCTATTTCAAATATCGAAGCTGAAAATTTATGATAATACCTGATTTATTTTCAGTTTTCATGCATTTATTAGTGTCAATCACTTATTTTCAGATACATTTGCCTTAATAGATGCATTTGCAATAGTATATAAGAATTGCAATAATTACTGAGATATTTTCAGTAAATATAAGTTACTCTGATGATTTTGAAAGAATGGAAAGAGTTAGTAACTTTTTGATATTAATCAAAGTATTTGTCAATTTTCGATATTTATAAAAATGCATATTTCCGTTTTTTGAGTAGCATTAGCATTGTTAATTTATTAAGTTTAATAAACGGTATGCATAGCTTACATGAGAATGCACAAGAAATAAACTTACTGTTAAACACCCTATTGACTAAAATAAAAATAAGTAAAATTACTTCATTAGATTACTTACAGTTTACAATAATTATTCTGGATTAAATGGTAAAAATATAATTGGGATAAAATATAATAAATATTTTTATTTTTATTTATTTTATGATGATTTAAATTAGTTAATAGTACAAAACATAAAAATATTTATCTCAGTCTTACATGAAATGGGACATCTTAATAAAATATTTTACAATTGTTTTCATGCTTTTGCGAGTACTTGTTTAAGTAATTACATGAAATGTACCTAATAAGTTTGACATTATCCTACGGAGTATGGAAATTATGCACCAAATGGACTGTTTCTATAGAAACTGGTTGAAGCGGCAATTGTTAGACTGAGATGTTAATTGAGAAGGAGAACATATCAGATGGAATTTTGGATTTGTAAGATAATTTGTTAATGTTAAGTATACATATGCTTCAATCAATGCATATTATGATGTATCTGTCTTGTTCATTTAACGAACCCATCATTAAAATAGAACTTAACATTTTTGTAACTGGAAGTAAAATTTCTTAGACAGCCATGTATTATCAAAATATTATTTTTTGTAATACCATGTATTACAAAAAATCACGATATATGGAATCGTGTATTTGCACGATTCCATATATCGTGCAAATGCACGAAATATGGAATGGATGATGACCTTGCAGTGGGGTGAAGAAATTTCACAAACGAAGAAAGTTCTCAATGTTTCATGAGCAGAAACTTTTTCCACTGGTGAAATACGCGTACTAAGTAATGTTCGAAAGCATTTAACGAAACGCAGGGAAAGAGCAGTAGCAATTCAGGCACATTTTGTGCTATTTCTGAAAAAAAAAACAGATGAAAATTGCATTGTGAGGAAAAAGATCTCACTCGATCTAGAATTAATTTATGTATTTAGAGAAAAAAAAATTAAGCTTTAATGGAAGATTTATGAACAAATTGAAAATTATGGAACATTTTTGAGTTACGAAGCTTTCTTTGTTTATGTACTTATTACGGCGGAATAGTGAAGATTTTTTTCTAAAATAGAGAAACATTTGTATCATATAGTAACAAAAAAATTGGTAGTTTTAATAGACTACGGAATGTGAGGATGTATTTAAATCCTTGAAAAAAGCTATAAAATCAGCATCCGTCTTAGCCTGATTTGATTTTAGCTAGATTTGAAGAATAGACCTAATCTCTTCGCTGATGCAAGTTAAAACGAATTGAATGCTGATTTGCCTCATTAAATTGACGGAAAATATCACTTAATTACATAATCGAGCAAAAGCTTGTCAAATCTAGAACGTAACTATTGCGTAACCAGAAAAGAAGCTCTCAAATATTTTCATAATTATTTATACAGATTAAAATTTTCACTAAGCGCATGTCACTCTGCATTAACTAATTATTAGTTATACTATTTAATGCTTATAGTTTATGTATAAGAATTAAATAGTATAACTATGTATAGTAATAGTTTATGTATAAGCATTAAATATATATTGTAATTTAGCTATAGAAATTTTACACCTTAATCTGTATATTTTTAAGTGATTAAATTATATCAGATTAGTTTTAAAAGCTTTTTTCTAATACAAACCATTTCGAGATATTTTTCACATAAACTGTTGCAAATCAGATTAATCTGTCGCTTTGAAAGGTTTTGTGTTATTCTAAATTGCATGTTAAATCGGACAAAATTTATAAATGAATATACCTAATTTTAGTTTTATGTGATATATACTTACAGCCACAGAAGAAATCTGTCAAAGAAGAAAAATGTATGGAATAAGTTTTATGATGTGAAAAACTTCTTAAAAAAATCAACGTAACTTTAAATTAGTTGAATTCACAGTTTTTTAATTAAAAACAAAACACAAATAGGGATCTGTGTGAGTGACATCAATACCAAAATAGGTCATGAGAAGCATTTAGACCGATTACGGGAAAATACTGGCTACAAGTGGAATCAAATAATAATGATAATAGGCAAATTAGACAATAGACAATAGTTTTTTTTATCTCCGTATCTCAAATATTCGGAGAAATATTTTTAATAGTCATTTTTTGTTTTTCTATTCGTATAATTTCAACCATCGTAACTATTTTGTCTGAAAAAAACTATGCCATATTTCAGAGATATTTTTGCCTTTTTTTGTAAAAAAAAAAAGAATGCTGAGTTAGATGTGTTATCGTATGAAACTTGAAATATTTCTACGAAGAAATTACTTCGAATGAATTCTTTATGGGTATTATTGAAATGAAACCATTGCTTATTGTTCTTAAAACGTAAATGACTAATCTTCCTGTTTATTGTCCTAAATACTTCAATGAAAAAAAATGAAGTTCTTTTCAAACTGGGAACTAAAAATATAGTAATGTTGAGCAAAGTTGTTCTTTAATTATTTCAAAAAAATGAAAAAAATTCAATAGCAATTTCATATTTCTCTTTATCGTGACAAATATTTCTGTAAAAATATTTTGCAAAACTTACCACTGGCAGCTTGATTTACTACAAAAAGTAATTTTTTATTCAGAAATGGACTTTATTATGAAATACTTACAATACTGGACTTACAAATTGCAAAATACAATGATTGAAATTTTTTAAAATTACGATTTGTAGTGTTTTTATATACTTTTTTTTACAAAATACACAAATATGCAAATTAAATTATGAAACAAATAAAATTATGTACCACGTTGATACGCACTTTAAATTTAAAGAATAAAAGCAATTATATCACGTACCCGTGTTTTTAGAAGCAGTAAAACAGCTATTTTTTTTTATTATTCCTCTTCCCTATTTGCTTCATTCACAAATGCATTTTAAGTCTAGAAAGCGTATTAATAGGAAAGCCAATGATAAAAACAAATTTACAGTTAAAATTTTTGTCTCAAATTTTGTGAAAGTCCTATAAGAGGTGCAACAAAATAATTAATTCTTACATTTTTCACCTTAATGCTAACTTTTTTTACTTATTTTTTCGCATTAACAATCCGAGCTTTTGAAATTTTTCCGTTACGGCAGTATAGTAAGTTTTTAGAAATTACTTAGTAACTTTAGTAATAGTAGTAACTTTCATTTGAAATCATGTGGTAATAGAAACAATGTTATGCAACTGTTTTATGTGATAATTTTTACCAGAAATATTGTCATTATACTGTTATACAGTCCGGTAATTTTACCACAATTGATTTTTCCGCTCAGAGCTATTAATTTTCTTTTAATAATTGATGCCCGTTTTGAATCAAATTCGATAAAATTCTTAAGGCTTAAAGCCATTCGTGATTTGTTTCGCCAATGACTTGCTTATATAGGTGTTTGAAAATTAGTATATAAGTTATATAAATTAGTATATTAGTATACACCTATATAAGATTCCTTATATAGGTGTTGCTCTGCTGTAAATTCTTAATCTACTACCAAATTAAAAAAAATTTATTAGTAATAATTCAGGATTCTCTCCTTGTCTTGATTTTTTTAAATTTGTTTTTTATGATTTAAGTTAGCCATGGTTTACATTTAAATTTATATAATATAAATGTAAAAATATATCAGATCGGATTAAAAGAAATTCTTACGTCCTCCAAGAACATCTATATAGACAAAAAAAATTATATTTTACTTTAACAAAATTTAATTTCATAGCTACAAATATGCTGTTGTAATTAAATGTTTTTTTTTCCTTTCCTATAACAAAAATTTTTTGATAATAATAAAGAAATAAATTTTCATTTATTGTATCAGTTATAGAAATTCCCTATAAAACTAATTTAAAATTTAAACTCACTTTCTAACTTGTTATTGAGTAATAGGAAAATGAAATCAAGAATAATTGCAAAAATTAGTATAATAGTTACTCATAAATTTGCAGTATAGCACAGAAATGAAGTAAAAGTAGAAAATGAATATTTATCTCTTTCTTTTATTAGTTTGAAATCTCAATAGGAAGCAACGTATTACTAATATCTCTATTTTTACATAGTTTGTTATTTTGTTATGCGTATAGTTTTATAAATGTTCTAAAAATACTCATATATTATAAAGAAATATAAATACTTACTGTTGCCAAATGTCTCAACTAAAATAAGACAAATAAAAATATGTTTAGTTTATTCTTATAAAATCTAGACCATAAATAAAATTTATAAAATATAATAAAAACTAAATCAAATTTTAATTTTCTTCTAATTATTTCTTAATATTTATTAAAAAAACTGCTATTCTAATAATTTTCTAAATAGAAATTACAAAATTGATAATGCAAGAATGTAAAACTTTGTATAATTTTTCAAAAGAAGAAACAAAACTTACGTCCTCCAGCAATACCTGATAAAAATTTTCCAATTATATATAAATTTTATTTATTTGTTTGGTTAAACATATTGCACATAATTCCTGCTTATTTCAGTCATGTTACTTACTAAACTATTCTTTAATTATGATTTTTTTTTTGGAAATTAATTTTCTAAAGGAAAAAGCATGTTACATTTCATTTCATTATTTGAATTTTAAAGATTTGTTCCGTACTTTTATGAATTTATGAAGTTAATTTTTTAAAATGTCCTTAAAAGAGCTTTTTGTTAAGTTATAAACAAATACTTCTAATATTTTTTAAAATACCCTAGAGAAAGCGAATCGTATACTATAAATAGTTTGGTCTTATAGTTTACGTCTCACTCGAGTTATTCTAATGGTTTATTGATTACTGCTAGAGATTCTTCTTTAATGATGCTTCCAAGTCATCACCGATGGATGCACATACTACTATTTAAAAATTGGAAAAGATGATAGATGGTACTTATATTTCATGGATTAACACATAGCAACATAAATTATTGTTTACTGAAATGTTTAACAAACAAAATAAAAAGTAGCACGTAACAATAATTTTTAATTAGTGTAAGCTTCTTCCCGAATTTTTTTTTCTACGATGGTACAAAATTGTAAAAATTGTTTTACACTAAAAATCTGAAATTTCGAAATAAGCAAATATTTAGCCTAAAGATCTGAATTTAATGATTTTATCTGATTCAAATATATTGCTACAATGCATTATATATTAATTGAAATTGTATTATAAATTTATTAAACTAAAAATAATTTTGTCCGTTCCTTTACTTATAAAGAAATGAGGTACAAAAAAGACGTAGGTTTTTCATTTCAAATTATTTGAATTTAAGAAAAAATTAGGCACTAAGATAATAGTTTTCAACATTACCAACTTTTATTTGTACCCTAATTTCAAAATTTAGGATGAAAATAAATTTGGGTTGAAATGTAATAAATGTTATGTTTTGTACTTACCGCCTGTGAAGCAACAAAAATTGTTTATGAACCATATATTATGCCAGTTTAAAAAAGTGCATACCCACTTACACACTTTTAAAATCATTTCTTAGAAAAAAATGTAAGTTAAAAAATTTCTACACTTCTTTTAAAATATTATATTCTAAAAATTAATAATATTTGTTAAATATATTCTTGCAAAATTTTAAGGTGTTTTTGAGGTTTATATGAGGCTGTTGCTAGGATTCATTTGAAGTTGAGTTAAGAAAAATCAACCTCCCAAAGTTCATATGATTGAAGATGCATGTCAAGATGTATGGAAGATGTTTTATTCCCACTTGAGGATGTTAGAAATCCACCTTAAAGCAATTAGCTTAGAAAGATTGTTCTTGCGGTGAACTGGTTATCTTTCTACACTTCGAAAAATATATATGTTTGAAGTGTGAATAGTTTCACCTGTGCAATATGAGCTGTGCAATACGAGCTGTGCAATATGAATTTATTTAAAGTGGTGTAAATGAGGTAGAAGTTGATGTTTATTGTAGAGAATATTTTTGGTATGATTTAGAACCTTATTTTTTACCTAAGGTGCCATTTTTACAATTGTCAATATTTCAAAAACTCTCAAAACGCTATACTTTCTCGTAAATTGTGGAAATATTTTTAAAAATATACAAATTATTACTGATGCGTATTCTATATTTTTGTATTCATTACAACTATGAAATATGTGAAGTATCGATATCATCAAAGGTGATAAGGAAACTCTTTTATTCATATATGCTTAAAAAAATTAAGTAACTACATTAAAAGACTTTCTATTATTCTTCAGAATATGGTATATAAACGTTTCTTCATTAACGAAAAGGTGCATGATTTTATTTAAATCTTCCAGTATAATATGCAATTTTTTAAGAAATTTTTTAACATGTTTGGAAAATTATATTTCATTAAATATGCATAATAATTATGCTTTTTGATGATTTTTTTGCACTTACCAAGGAGTCCAGCTATAAAAAAAAACTTTATATCAATCATCTATGTGATGTTATACTTGCATTGAAATTAAATAATGAATTTCGAAAAAATAAGGTTTACTAAGTTAATTTCTCTGATTTATTTTTATAATTAAATGGTTAGATTAATGCTTGCTTAAGATTAAAGTGGTTGCCTTATTCGAAATGTTTGTATAAGCAATGAAACGTCCCTTTTCCATTAGATTTTTTCATAACATTTTTTAACTATCTATAATTCACCGATTATATGATAGTTAAGGTATTTTAATGCTTTTTTCTAACTGCATACCATTTTTCTCCATATCTTATTGAATTATATCATCATGTAAAAGTTGAAAATTATTCTACATCGAAACTTAATTTGGGAAATTTAATTGCATACGAGGTGTTCTAAAATTACTACCGATTTAAGCATATATAAACACGCCAATAACAAAGTTAGGACTACGATTAAAGTAAAACAAAAGCTAATCAACTGCTCTATGTTTGGATAAATTTGAGAGAAAAAAAAGACTGTTTCCAGCAGCATAACCTTACCGTTTTTAAGCATAAATTTAATTTTGATGGAAATATAGAGATCATTATTGCTCATTTAAACAAATATTTATTTTTTAAATTGATCTGAATACCTAAAATTGTTTTGGAATAAATACTTACGTTTTTTCTTATTAGCTAAAAGAAAGTTAAAAAAACAATCATTAAATAGTCTTTGAAATTTAGTTGAATTCATTTTAAATTACAAAGTTTTTTCAAAGCATGCAATTAGTAAATTTAAGTTAAAGAAACATAAAAAAATTATAAATATTCTGTTATATACAAAGTGAAATTATAACTAAGTTTACAAAGTGATAAACCTATGCTTATCACTTTTTCACTCTGAAAAATTTCGGTCCAATTTTGTCAAAATTACTCAATTATTCCATACATAAAAAATAGCTTTTTTAATTATTTATTTTGGAGCAATCGATAAAAATGCTGATTAATGTAGTATTAAATTTTGCCTTTTTGCTGAGAAAAGAGACTTCTGAAATTTATAAAGCTTATTACTAAAAATTTCAAACTAATAAAAAAATAAAATTTATCATATACACACCTCCAAGTGCATTAGCAGCTAAAATAATAAAAGTTTTACAAGTAAAAAACAAGAATGTATTTGAAACTGAAATTTGTGACTACATATATGAAATAAATGTGAGATTAAGAAGATCATTTGTAAATCTTTTCCTTAAACGATATATTGAAAAAGACTAGTTTTACTTACCTCCTCCCAAAATATCTATAAAAACCACAATTATAATTGTAATTAAATGATTTTGAATACTCTTTCATTCTTTAAAATTACAATAAAAATGATTTTATGCCCTGTTTTATTGTCGTAAATTATTTACAAATTATTTAAATCAATTAAATGTTTTCCTAGTTTATAACTTTAATTCATAACATATTCAAGCATTATAACAAGGACTGTTTGACTCATCGGAATTTTTAAAAAATGTTAGATGTTTTTATTTTATTCAAATATAAACTATATTATCATCGTTCATTTACATTTCTATTATTAATAGTGTAGTGATAAGCAGTAATAAAAATTTTAGAGCGGTCTTCTTTGTCTTATGAATGTATGAAAGCAGCAACATATTTTGGTTGTTATTTTATCTTTTTTTTTTAATTTATACCAGTTAATCAGACATTCTTAGATACGCAGTATTCTATTTTTCGCTCTTCCTTGCTTGCGTCAGCAATCATCTACCCTCTTTTGCATCATTAGTTATGTCTGTGAATCAGTGAATTCCATGAAATCCAAAAACTCTGGGCATTCATGTCACCAATTTCACTTTCAGTTTGTTTGCTTTTTCTTCCTTTTCTAATCTGTTCAGCAGACTTAGTTTAGGACGCCACATTATTTAGTTTCTTTTTGTGGTTTAAGCATAAATTTCTCTGTCGCTTTCTGTTACTTAAATCACTAAATTAAATATTAAAATAAAAGTAATCTTAAAAAAAAAATGTGCTTCTGCTTAGAAAATTTTAGAAAATTTTCTTGAAAATAATTACTGAAAAACACAAAAATCTTTCTTAAAACTAGATAAAATATTTTTGTTTTACATAATTGGTAAGATATGGTTTCAATTACAAAAGTTTTAAAGTATTTGTTGTGGGCCATGGAAGAAAAAAAACAGCTTTACTTGTGAATATTAAAAGAAAAAAAAAACTAATGCCTAACATTTCTATTACATATTAGTTTAAATGCTAAGATAAGAATTTTTATATACGCTAAAATAGCAGAGCACTGTTCGAATTTTCATTCTAAAACTATAATAAAATAACCGGCATTCTGCTCTTATAATTAATAGTGAAGTTCACGGAAAATAACGCTTGTAACTTTTACAGTTTTGAATCCGTTTAAAATTAGTATGGTTAAAAAAAACCACGAATCTATAACTATATATTTTTTTTTAAATCATTATCAACTAGCATGGTTTCAACATCGTAAAAAAGAAATTTAACTGGATATTGGAGCTAGACTTTTCGTTAGATAATGGACAATAAAGTTAGATTGTTGTTGAGATGCGTTTCCTCAAGTCAACTGAGTAATGGTATTTGATTATTGTAGCTGGTTAATTCACATAGTGAGAATGATGATTGTGAGAGATGGAAAATGCTAGAATTTCTTAAGTTGATCAGCTTTATGGTGCTATCATCTATGCTTGAGTTAGACTATAGTACTCTAATAGCACAGGGTCACAAATTGGAGAGTGCAGGACACTAAAAACTCTTCATGTGTTGAAGGGAATGGAGGAAATATTATAGTGTCAACCATTCTGCTTGACATGAGGTTGATAGATTAGGCCTTTTGGCTATAACATGCACCCAGCTGAAAGGAACTGAGGGTCGACATTAGGTCAGCTTGGTTGGTTTGATAAAATTATGTTTAACCATATTAGGGGAAAGCAGTTATTAAACAGTTTTTCTCGCAATTTATAGACTGAATACCATTTTATTTAAGGTAAATTGACTGTTCTGTTTGAATCTTTTAAAATAACAATCGAATAAATTGTTTTTTAACAATTTTTTTTCCGAGAAATTTCTAACATTGTATAGGGAAAGTTATAAAAGTTTAGTTTCAAATAATCAGAAAAAGTTTTCAATGAAAATCTTACTCTGTCCTGCCTTGTTCACTGTAAATAATTTTAGAAATTTAGCATCATATATGACAACATAAATAGTGAATGCATACAGATTATAAAGAAATTAAATAATTCAATATTTTAATATTTATTATTTAGCAATCAAGCTGTTTTGATAATTTGAAACACATAAACTATTGAATCATATTGAAAATATAAATATGTAGGAAATTGCTGAAGATATTTAATAGTATACAATTATAAAAATATCATAATCGATGTTTTTTTAATTCTAAATGTATTTCTCAATCACTTTTTACTTTCATTTTTAACTTACACTAAACAGTGATTCTATCATTATAAAACATCTTTGTATTTTTAACGTTTTGTAAAATCTTAGCTAAGTTTGAATAATTTGTAATTAACGAATTTCACTTGATACTAACTTTGAAAAGGATCATATGATAAAGTTGTTTAAAGATAATAGTCAGAAGATTTTGCTTTTTAATTAATTATATTACATCTTTTATGCAAGTTTCTGTTGGAATGTTATGTTTACAATCGTTTTCATTAAAATCAAAATTATATGTTTTTTCGCGTAAATATCAACAGCATTAAATCAGCGCAACCGCATTAAATCAAATTTCGTATTTTAGAATGAATCTTAAATGGGTTAAATTCTTGTATAATCTGAACAAACTGGATTATACATTATAGATTCTCAATAAATGCCGTGTGTTTCGAATTTGTTATAACATAAACTTACAGCTGTTGGCAAGTCCTAAAAAAGAAACAAGATTTAATAGTGAATTCATAAATCATCATTTTATTATTGATGTGTTTAAGAAATGAGACATGTGCAAAACAACTAAGTGTTTCTTTAAGGTTTCGAATCATGTATTTATAAATATATAAATTTATGTATTATCGAGATAAATTTAATTGTTTTACAATTGTATATTTCAATTAACATGCATCTGAAAATAAATATTCGACTTGAATACATAGAGGTATATTCAATTTTTGCAACTTATGTCATCAATTTATGAAATTCAATAGTTATCATATACCGTAATAAGGGATAACTTTGAGACTACATGAACGTTTGTATTCTTTTTATTTGAATTTCTAATTTAAATTGTACTTCAGAGCTATGATTATTTTGCATTATATATATACCTGTACAAATTTTTTTTACAATGTGATAAGCAACTCATTCTAAGAAGTCAGGAGCAAAATTCTACGTCACAACAACTAGTATGGAATAACTCTGGGATAACTAATTTGTAATTTTGAAGTCAACAATAATATTATCACATAGCAAACATCTTTAATATCGTGTATAGGCACAATTTTTTTCATAAAACGGTAAAAATTTCTAAATGTAATTTTTCTATGGGAGGTGGATAAAAAAAATTCTAAAATGAAAATATTATTTTTTGTATTTATAATTATTTCTAACATTAGTATAGATTCCATTATTGTTATTATTAATATTTACATTATTATTGTGATTTCTCTTATCGATTATTGTTCATTTTTCGAGGGATTTTCATTCCTGATTCTCAACACGCTGTAATTTGGGAGTATAGTCTCTATAGCATCGTCAGGAGAGCGTTCTAAAATTTTGTGCCCGTTATGAAAATTTTACTTTTTGAGTATTTCACCATGATTCGAGAACTTTTTAATTAAATTGAAAAATTTTTGCTCGCAAGTCTGTCATTCGTTTATCCAAAGACAATTCTATTCAAAAATTGATTTTTAGTAATTATTTTTTCTTTTTTAATAATAGTGAAAACAGTTTAAACTTCTACTGTTTAATATATACAATATTTAAAATGAAAATATCAACTTACCTGTAACACCTCCCTCTAGATAATTAAGAAAAATTTCAAAATTAAAAAAATAAAAAGGGTAATAAAAAATAAATGCAACTCACTACAACAGACAATTAATAGTGTTTAATCTGATTTGTTTTCATAATAGTACACTGATATTAATTTTTTTAATCAAATAAGTTTGAAGATACAAATTTTGATGTTTTTTCCATAAAAATTAAATTTTTCAAACATATTTAAAAAGTGTAAGAAGCCAAAAATTATTCATAATATATGAAAAAAAATCAAAGTTACTTTCTCAGATATAATATTAAAACAGAAAAAATGACGTTTAAAGAAATCTAATGTTCCCTGCATAAAAGAGTTGTAAGCACCAACAACGCGAGTTTAATGTTCAGCTTAGCGTAACATTTTGTTTCCTTTCGTACAGAATAGATTGATATCGAATTATAGGATTACGAAGGTTTGTTATCACGTTTGTATAAGTATAATTATGAATGAGTGTAGAAAAACGTTAAATGAATACAGCTGAATTAAAAAAATAGAAGCTTCGATTCCTTTTCGATACTTTCGATTTTTGCTAAACTTGTTGCAAAAAATACCTCTTAATTTTATATCCATTGAAATGCATCAACAAAGTTGAAATTTAATGTATTAAACCAGCCATTTTCAATCAGGATTCTTTTTATTGTTGTTGCACTTTTAAATGATTTTCTTAAGAACATTTCTTAAAGTCTTTAGTTTTCTTTAAAGTTAAATTAAAAAATATAATTGTATCTCTCAAAATCTTTATTTTATAATTTCGTTCTTGACGTGATGATAACAATTTCACAAAATAATTATTAATACAAAATTGAAAAAGATTAGATGGTGCCAGATTACACTTATGCGATAAAAAATTATCGCTATTGTTAACATTAAAAATTTCCCCTCATTTAATATTTCTTATAGTGATACCTAAGTTTTTTTGTGTTCCTAAATTTAGAAATTTTAAGTTTAGTTTATTATTTTTTGAATCCAATTATTTTATTTTTATTTTTTTCGGACTAAAGTGTTAGCAAAGTGTTATAACACAAATTATAATAACAATCTGCTTTATAGACAAAAATACTTTTCTCTCCAGAAAAAAAAAAATTAGGAAAATAAAGGAGAACGGAAGTCAATCATGGGTGTTGGTGCCTAGAGCTTTTTCATATTTAAAAAAAAATAATAAATATAATTTGTGCTAAAATTTTTATATATTAAATGGGCTTTTACGCAAACACTGTAAAAAATAGTTCCTTTAGATTTTTATCCATAAACTTATCGTTGCTAATATATTTATGAATTGTATTTTCCTAAGTAAATTAAACACAGATTTAAAAACATAATATTTAAATAAATATAATTTCATTTCAAATTTTTATAAAATGAGTATTTAGTAACTAGTTTAAACTTACTTTGACATTTTCCGGCTTTGCCTCCTTTTCCTCCACCTATGGAAAAAGTTAAGAAAAAGTTTGTTAAATTAATTAGCTGTAACTCATTTTTTTCCAGAAATAAGAACTCAAAATTTAAAGTACAAGGAAAAAGTAACTTAGTTACTAACCAATGCAAAAACCATTTAAACTTCTCTTTAAAATTTTTGATCATTACAATTTTACTGAATTTTTTATGCAAATGCTAAATTAATTTATTATAATTGAAAAAACTTTGCAGCTAACATCCATACTTTTTTCCGCAAATTGATACTGGCCAATGAAACTGCTCCACCACATTGTGAAATTTTCAAGACAGCTAAAACATATGTATGTAAGATATGAAATTTTTAGAACATTTATAGGAAGCAGGTGCTAATGGTATCACCAACAGATGACAGCATTGTTTTGAATTCTCAATTTACATTTGAACTTTATTTTACGTTTAAGAATTTTGTGTAATACCATGCGTAAGAAGAATTGTCTTCAAGGACATATGCTATTTTTAATTTTTAATAAAGAAAAAATGTTTCCCAATAGGGTTACGGTTTATCGCCCTAATTAATTGCTATTGGCGTTGGCCGAGATCCCTTAACTGTGCATACAGTATGGAATCGATGTGGGTACAGAACGGTAAATCGGAATGTCATGCTATATTTTAGTGACTTCCTCTACTTACAGCCAAGAAGCTAAAAGGAGTCGCAGAACCAAATAATGCAAATTGTGAGAAGGGGAAGTTTACTAGACAGTAAGCTTGTTCAAACTGTTGGACAATGTCTGAAACAATATGAGCTACCAATTAGCAAATAAAGCTTCAGTTACTCTTGACATTGTATCACATAAAAACAGAGGCACCTTCAGTGTAGGGATCAATGTCTAATATTTACCCATGAAGGGTGGCACATAATCATTACAGGCGAGTTTTGGGACTAAATGTGGAGCCATGATTGACACATCTGGGTTTGGCGGCATCATGGAGATTAGATGTATACATGGCTATAGTGAACTATTACTCACTATTACAATGATTTTATTGGATGCTTTTTGGTGAGTTCAACAACTCGTGTTTGCATTTATTGCATTCTGAACCAAGTCTTTTCATTTGCATATACAGAAGTTTAAAGTTAAAACACATATGACAAATCAAAAGTAAAGTAACATATTTGCAATTCAATTTTTGTGGGGAATATTAAATCTGGTTTCTGATCTTCGTATCTGGTTTTGATCTACGTTTAAATCTACGTGTTTGAATTACCTTTAGCAAAATTAAATTACTTTGGGAGTCACGTGGCTAACGTTGCAGAATATAGTTACCTCCTTTTGGTGGTTGTCCGTTTCCACCTCCTCCTAAGGAAAAATATTATTTATCATTTAATAACAAATGACCATTAAAACGCTTTTTCTTTCAGAACATTTCCATGTTATTTCAAGAAATGAAAATTTAACTGACAGAAATATTAATTTATGCAAAAATCATTGCAAAGTCTGAGCATATATGAATTTTTNTATGATCCATATTCTACATTATCTACGGTATCTATCTCAGAAGATGTTCATTATTCTTAGGGCATATGCACACACATAGTTCACAGTTACGGTTAATTACATTTCGTATGTTCAATAATTCACTTTCGATGAATGTCTCTTACCTTCATCATATCCAGAGAAGACTAAAATGTTTTGAAGAGCTGGTCATCTAGATTATTCCTCAAAAAAGAACACAAAGATGTGTTTTTCTCAATGAATAAGACCTCAGGGCAGTAGACAAGAGTGCATGTAAATGGCAACTTAATTATTTGTTTGTAACAAGATGGAGCATCTAAAGTGCTACTTTCTTGTTATCCTCGTGACTACTCTGTGTATATGCAGAAACATTGATGAAAAACATGCTGTTTTTCAAACAATGTTAGTCTTCCCCCTAGTAATTCACTTTGCAGTTTCATTCAATTATTCTCATAATGATATGTTCAGCATGTCAGAATAGAATATAAAGTATTGGAGAATTCGTTTTTGATTGCTAAGTTTATACAAGCTTTAACCCTTAAATGAGAGACGATGTAGATCTGAATTATATGTTTAAAATAGTAACCTTTTCGTTATGTCTTTTTTTATTTAATTTTTATTTTATCGTTTCTGGTTGCAATTGGAATCTTTGATAGTTTATTTGCCTGCATCAATTTTCATTGTTGGTGTGATATCTGAGTACAATCTCAATTCGGTGGGTGTTAAAAATCAAGATTATTTATCTAACTAGAATTATTTATATACATAACTAGTTATTACATAACTAGAATTAATAATTATTTATATTTTCTGTTTCGAGTGTAAGGCACTTAAACTATGACTTTTTTTTATTTTCCTTGGCGACGGAGCTTCGAAAAACAGCGTTAAAAGATAGATTACAGTTTGAATGAAAGCGAGTGAGTTTATTTAGTTTTGTGAGTTTATTTAGCTGAACTCAGAATTTCAGTTTAGCAAACTAGCAGCGCTAGATAGTTTTTAAAAAAGTATAAATAATATGGATAGTTGGAATCAAAGTTTTTAAAGTATGAAATTTTATAACAAATCAGCCCATTTTTAGTTTACGTTGTTTAAATGCGAATAAATTGTTGAATAATCGGTTTTAATATATCATTAAATAACATTATTTCAGTACAAAATGAACATATTGAAGAATGGTACGGTTCTTATGATATTTAAGAAAAATTACAAATTCACGAACAAAGACACTTGTGATGTAACAGCTGCAGTGACGTGTAGTGCGGGGTGGGAAGGAACAACGACCCCAAGTAAAGAAGGCATTCAACAGACGGCAAATGGCAGTAAAACTTTAAATGTGTTATTAGTATTATTTTTATAATGAAATTAAAGAAAATTTTAATAGAATTTAAGAATTAAGTCTTAAAAATTAAATGAATTTAAATTTAATATCTCAGACACAAAAATTTAAATATTTTATTAAAATTTATATAGTAATTCAATAATTATTAATTTAAACTATTACTAATTACTATAATTTTGATATGTACTTTGAATATTTAAATTTATTGATAAATTTGTACATAAATTAAAATATTTTATTTTAATTATGATTAAATAAAAATATGAAGTATGGAAATAATAAATTTAAACGAATTCAATTTTGATTAATTGAAATAATTTTGATCGGCTCTAAATTTTGCATTGGAAATTTTCAGAAATCGGTCAAAATTTCAATTTACGTTTCTAAAAAAAGACACTAAAGTGAATAAAGAAATAGCATCTTCTTAAACGACTCAGAAACACCCAACCACACCACCAAACTATCCTTAAAAGTCAATGTTGCGACTTCTTGACTTTTGTTAAAAAATCTATATTATTTACACGAATTTCCTAAGTTCACCTTTAGACCTTTTACGAAATCGGACTAAATTTTCATTAAAAAAAAACCCGACGCAGAACTCTATTAAAGAGAAACAAAGTTACATAATGACACTGGACACATTCATGAGCACAAGGATCCCAAATATATTTGCATAAACATCATTAATCTTATCGTGAGGATTATTTTAAACAGGAACCATGGCTAAACTATTTTTCATTCATCGCTAATGCAACACGTCGTTCTACATAGTATGTTTAGTGTTTTTTTAAAGTTAATACAAAATAAGTTTTTACAGTGTAAGCCTCATTATTAATCTTATGATACATTAGAACGTGGGTTCATGTGATGGATTATGAAGATTTAAGCTCGGTTACTTGTATGCATTCGAGATCTTCCCAAACACTTAGCGATTGTTGATAAGAGTATAATCTGTGATCGCCACGTGAGATAGCGTGTAAAGCACAGCCGAATTCTTTTCAAAATATTCTTTAATGATTTATTATAGTTACTTCAAAGAGTTTTATTCAAATGCTCTGAAAATTAGTTTGAAATATATTTTTTCTTTTGAATTTGGTTTTTTAACAAAACGAACTTCTCGATTAGAGCTTTATAAAAAAGAAACCAGAGCGAATGAAAAACCCTCAGTTAATTTTAAGAAGAATTGGAAAAATTCGAATGTATAAATCGATATAGTTAAAATTATTAAATCCATATTGAAAAAGCCTTATTTTTAAAATTAGAACTCTCAGGAACTATTCGACCGATTCTGCTCAAATTTTGGAATTTGCCATTGAAAACTGCATTCTTTAAAATGATGCAAAAATTACATACCTTACAATTCAAATTTGATTCTACTATTATTAAAGAAAATAATAAATATTTACTAAAAATTATATTTTGCATTGTTATATTTATGAAGATAAAAAGCGTTTGGGGTCTAATTTTTTAATATTTAAAACTTATTATTTTAATACTAAAAAACTTATCTGGGGTCACAAAAATTTGCAAAAAAGGAGAATAAAGCATTGATTATTATATTTTTCTCTTAGGTGTAAAAAATGTTGCCAAATTGGCGAATATTAGAATTTTTTAATAACTTTTAAAATATTTTAGTAATTTGTCAGTTCTAAAGTCCAGATAATTCTTTACTGCAGAAAGACTAGTTGAAAATTATAGCTTAACTATAAGTGTAAGTTAAATCTCGTTTTTCCCTCTTTTTTTCTTCTCTTTTCTTCTGTTCTTTTATTTTTTTTTTTAAATTTTCCTTGGCGAAAGAGCTCCAAAAAATCATGTTAATGGTGAGAAGTTAAATGAGCTAAAAATAAAAATTGAAAGGTGGACCAACAAACCCTGGTTCCACCCATATCACGAAGGCGAGTTTACCTAGTTATTTGATCCAGTAGTTTCTTTGTCTTCCAAGTAGAGTTTAAATTTACTAGTGAAACGCGAGTGATTCACCATTTTATATATTCATTCTCTGTGATAAAACGAATAACAAAGGCACTAACAGCAATATTGCTGCTATCAATCAACAGTTTAATGAGGAGTAAGTTCTTTGAAAGAAAGAGTACCTTTACTTCCTCCTTAGAATTTTTATTTATTCATTTATTTTCTTCGTTTATGTGTTAAATAACCTTCTTAAAGATTAATTTTAAAGAGGCGACAAACGAACTTAAAAAGCAGCTGTGAGCAGAGTTCATTTAACGACACCGAAACAAGCGTCCGTATTATTTCAGATATAGGATTGACGGTGCCAAAAAACGCGGCACGTTTGTTTTTAGAAGTTAAGTCCAAGGTTGTTAGAAAAGCAGGAACCGCCCCTTAACCAGGGCTATACATACATACTTGAGATGCTTTCTGACAGCTTGCTATCTAATTAAGATATTGAAGGAGTCAGTGTGTCACATTTTTAAGTGTTTGCTTTAAATAAAAGATCACAAAAAATGATAGTTTAAATTTTAATGAATAGTTCTCAACAAATTTATAATAAACATGTAATATAAATTTTTTTTTAAAAGTATGCTCCTATTAAGGTCAACGAAGAAATTTTTTATTTTAGTTACTTTTTATAATATAATTACAATTAATATAAATATGTATATACATATGACAGAATCACAATATTAAGTGGCAAAGCAGAAAGCGAATTTCCTTGCAATTTTCCTTTCTATATATGGTGTTGGACAATTATTTTTGTTTGTTACTATTTATTCGCTTTCTTTTCTTTTTTTTTCGTTTGTAATTTATGAAGACGATAGTGATCTATAATTTCTCATTCTATCCATCTCTTGTGACAATTTCATGGAACCTTTTTAGTGAAGGTTCCTTGAAAACAAGGAACCTTTCTGATGGAACCTTTCTTAAGGAACTTCAAGGAACCTTTTTAGTGAGTTTCGAGCAGTCCAGTTCTTCAATTAATAGTTCATTTTTTTTCCATTTTGTTCCCTCCTTGACTCAGACCCAGAATTAAAAAATAATCTAAAAGAGAATTTTTTTCCAGAGATCTACACGGTTTTTATTCCTAAATCTACATCCTGCTAAATATTTTTATATAAAAGAAATATTTTCTCCCATATAAAACTAAAATTAATTAATTAAATTAATTAATTAAATTAATCAATGAGTCAATATTTGAAAAGACTGTGTTAACATCAATTAAATAAATGTATTTGAACTTGAGAGGATGGTTAAAAAGTATTTTATTAACTATAGAAATTTCGAATAAGATATATAAATATATATAGCGAGAGTGTGAACTAATAGTACACTGTTAAAAATTTCTGGGAAAAAATGGTTAATTAACAATTTATTCAACGGTTAATTTACCATATTAAATCAAAACAGTCAAATAACCATAAATAAAATGGTAATGAAACTGTTAAGTATGAGAAAAAAACTGTTTATTAACTGCTTTCATCTAACACGGTTAAACAACCAGAATTTTATCGCACCAACTAGAACCACCTAAGGAAGCAACTGCGTACATATCATAGCCGAGCGAATTTATCTGTCAATCTCATGACCGGCAGAACTGGAGTTCGAGTCCTAGTGTTGGCACTGCAATATTTCCTCCATTCCCTTCAACNATGTATAAAATATCAGAAAATAATCGTGAACATCAAGAATTTTGATGCCCTTAGAAGTATAAACAAAAAATTAAAAGTTTTGAACTAATTTTTCTAGGTTTATATACATTTCATTAAAAATCATAAAAACGACACAAGTATCATTTATTTAATTAACATATAAACTTATTGAACCTTTTTTTCTTTATTGAGCATTTTTTTCTTTTTAATAATTCCATCCATATTTGCTCTTTATTTTTCATCCAAAATTATTAGTATCATAGCTGAATTGAAAAATTTTAGTATGAAGTTAAATTGTTATAAAATCTATGAAAAGGCTTACTTTAATTATTTTCAGTCAAAAATTATCTTCAATTAGCAAAACATAGGAAAAAAACTAAGTTCTGATACGTTAAATTCAATTAATTAATCCTGAGATTACGGTTTGACAGGGTTACAGTCTGGAAAACCTGGAGAATAGATCGAAATCTTTATTCAGATGCAACGCAGTGCGATGTACACAGCACCGAAAATAAATTAGGCAATGTGTGTTGAAAATTTTGATTGATTTTAACATTTACTTTTTCTTCTTTTTTAACATTTACTTTTTCTTTACTTTGACATTTATTTCTTCTTTCTTGATTTTAAAATTTACTAGATCTGCGTCTGATTACGGTATTGACATCGTAACTGTAACCTCACTGAATGACAGTTTGTGATTATAAACCTAGAAAAATTAGTTCAAAAAGTTTAATTTTTTGTTTATACTTATAAGGGCATAAAAATTTTCGATGTTCACAATTGTTTTCTGATGTTTTATGCATTTAAAAGAATTCTGGAGGTGTAAAAATAGAAAAATTATAAAATAAAATAAAAAAGAGATTTTTCTAATATGAAAAGGTAAAGGTTTTCTTCGGGCTCATTCCTTTACTATAGTAAATGCTATGTGTACCGAATAAAGAATAATTATCCTAAGAAAAAAGTTATTCTTTATAACGCTTCTATATTTATAAAAAATCAAAGGGGAATTGAAAATGAGTTTGAAATAAAAGATATATATATATTTCTTCCTCTTCAGAAACTTTTATAAATATCATTAAAGGAACCATTAGTTGATATAAAAATGAAGAAATAGAAAACTTTTTACCTGCGACTGCAAATGCAAGGGCGAGTAAGAGTGCAATGGTCCTCATAATTCTGGTTAATATACTGGACTTTCACAGCTTGCTGCAAATGTGTAGCTCTGAGCTTAAAATGTTCCTTTATATATTCGAAAATTTTATATCTTTGAATTTAATCTTATTTTCAAGAGATGTTAAAGCTATCTAATAATCATTTCGGTACATTCTCAAACTTTAAATCTGTTTGTTTAGTAGTAAAATTTTATGAGGATTGTCAGTCTAATAGACAAGTAGTGAAAACCATAGTTTAATCAGTTGAACAGAAATCTATTACGATATGATTGAATTTGCTTGCAGCAATTGGGTTTGATAAGAACCAATACAACTTTAATTTTAAACGAAATGTAGAACAAATAAGTTATTTTGGTGATTGCTTCCATAAAACGTGTTATGTGTAAATTATTTTCCATTTTATCACATCGGATGTTCTTGAATTTAAATTACGCAGTTGAAGACAGAGGTCTAAACTCTTTATTGCATCAATCCTTGAAACCCTCTTACCATGAAAATATTACATGCTTTCCAGATGCTATGAAATTGTTATGAGTTCATCAGGAACTTACTACTTTTTTTTTTAAATGTGTTGATATTTGGTGAAATTTTTCCATTAAAATTGTAAAAGTTAAATCTTTCTCAGAATGCCTATGTTCTTTTTCTCGAAAAAGAGTTTTTTCCACTAATTGCGTAGTTAAGTGGTACAGGTAGTAAAACTTCTATGGCATTTAGGTAAATATACATGTTAGTACTTCTTTATTTTGTTTTATTCGAAGCTTGTTATTGTGTTTTAATTTGATTTAATATTCCACTGTTAACGGCAATTTTTAAAAGTTTAATTCAATATATTTTTTATTATGTCAGCTTCAACAGTTAGATACGTAACTAAGCAAAAAAAATGGGAAATATGCATATTCTTCTGGGATATCTCGTAAGAAACAAACGTAAGTTTTTGTTTTGAGATAAAAAATTTTATAAAATTGCTGTTAATAACGTCTAGAGAAAATGGATTTTTTTGTAGAATAAAGGAGAAATATGTAAAGGAGTGTCGGGTACCCCCGCCCACTGTCAATTTCATATGTATGGAATATTTTTTCAAGTCAATGGGCCATCGGACACTAATTGTTAAATTAAAAAAAGATTATTTTCAAAGTTTCAAGTATTTATGCAGCTGTTAACATGGTAAACAATAGTTTTGAAAATATGTTGAATACAGTAGTCATGAAATTAAGAAAAATTGGTTGAATGTTTCGATTAAACTTCATTTTAATACTGAAAAAATAATTTTTTCTATACATACAGCATTAAAGTATGTAGTCTTAAGTTTAATTTGCAAAAAGAAAGAAGTTTATATGTGAAAAGTTGTTCGAGTAATTACAAATTTACAAAAAAATTGGATTTCGGGTAGTCCCGCTCACATGAATGTCGGATATCAGCACCCAATTTTATTTCGTCGATAAATGTACGGTTGCAAAGATTATTATTTTATTGCTTTAAATTTGAATGTTATATGCATTTTTAACAACAACCTATTAATATACATTAATAATAATAAAAAGTATGACATTTGACATGATAGAATTCACTAAAAGTATATAAATATGTAATAAATAAAATAATTTTGTGATAAAAATGATAAATGAGGTTTATCTATTGTCAATACATTGGTCATTTTCATTTACACCTGAAAAAACAGTCAAAAAACATAATTTTTGTAGCTGGGCGGGGCTACCCGACACATTTTGAAAAGAGCTGAAAAACATGTTTTTTTAAATTTCTATTTTTTTAATGTAACTATTCTTTTTTTGGTTTATTCTTTTTGCATTTTTTAATTAGATGATAAAACAATAGAAACATACAGAAATATTGATTATTACTCAATTTTATACAGAAATATAAGCAATAATACTTAAGTGGGCGGGGCTACCCGACTCTTCCCTATATATTTTATGTATGAAACCTTTATATGTTTGGAACTTTACATACAATCGATATAAATTTTGTTATGTCTGATTTGAAGACTACACCAGAAGCAGTAAACTGTATAGATAATTGGGGATATTTAGGAACTAGTTAATTTATGACGTAGTTGAATACTTCTCTTTTGCATGTTTTATAGTTGGTTACTTACAGGAACCATAATTGACCTGACCTTTTCAAAGAAAAAAAACTTTACCCTGTTATAAATAAGAAGAGGAAATTATTTTCATCTAATATGGAATTTCACAATTAAGTCAGAAAAATAGCAATTTTCTAATTTCAGGAAATCATTTTTTCACACTTTCCCCTTAATACTTCTGAAAGTATTCATACTCCCTTCAATATATTTTTTTTTATGAAATTCTATACACCATGAAATTCTTTTGACACAAGAGGTTTTACTTCTAATATTTGTGTACGCTAAATTTTATATTAGAAATGTTATTATGATTCTGAAAGTATTTTTATTTTAAATGAATCATGAAAAACAAACAGGCATAAGTTTAAAAATAAATTCAACTGTAAGATAAGATTGAAAATTTTATTTTCTTGAAAGTTCGAATAAAGTTTAGAGATATTTGCTTCATGTTAACATCTTTGTAATGCTAGATGTGATTTATTTTAATCTCCAGATTACAGAAAATAATTTAAGGATTTTTTTCTTTTAAAAAAAATTCTTTTGGAAATGTAAGCGATTTCGAAAAAAAGTTTAATATTATGATTCTTATTTCGATACTTTTACAGTCTCCCTTTAGATAGTAGCTATTATTATTATATATAATAGGAATTTAGATATTATTATTATTATCATATTATCTCCTTTTAGATCCCTTTGGAAGTTATTAACAAACTCGGCAATTACTAACTGAATACCTAGTCCTAGAGGCAAAATTTACTATAGATATGGGGTATTAAGGGAGTGTTAGGAACTTCTAGAGGAACGTTATCGAACTATAGATGAAGTAGTTATTGATAACACGTTAAAGTTCATAAGCTGCTGGATTTGCCACTGAGGAATTGCTTAAAATATTTAATTGCATTAAGTTATTAAAATTGTTTGTTTTATAAAAATAATTTTTAATGATTAAAGGACATAATTAATAATTTTAATTGCTTTATAATGAATAAACTAAAGGATGCTTATGATTTCAAGAGCTTAACTCTAAACAATGTCATGATATTCGTATGAATATGAAATATTTGTGTCACAGTGGCGCTCCTAAGTTTTGCTTCAAAAACTGATATATACTTCAAAATAAATAATCATTTTATAATGAAAAGAGAAACGATTAAATCAAACAAGCAGCATTTTTTTATGTTAGAAATTTAAAGTATAAGTACATTCTTTCCCTTTTCTGTCACTTTGAAATGAATTTATAAAGGATTTTAGAATGCATATTTAAGTTAATTCATTATTATTGAGTTTTCTTATTTGTTTAGTTATTCAAAAATACATAATAAAAGCATGAATAACTTTGGATTTGAAATTAATATTTTATTCGATAAAAATATCTGACTTGAATTTGACTATTGTTTCACTCAGTATTGGCTGTACTATATTCACAGGTAATGGCTTGCAGGTTAAATTTATAAACGATATAATTTATTTAACACCTTTTGAATAATAAATAAGAAAAATAATACTCAATAAAATATTGAATTTAAACTGCAAAAAGATACGTTGAATATATTAAAATGCAATTACCTATTTAATTTTCCATATGGGTTATTTGCATGAAAATTAATCTAAATTTCTTTATAATATAAATGCATTGGTTATTATGTATATTTTTAATAACTGAAAGGTATGGTTGAAGAAAAGCATCATAACAAAAATATTAAAATAATTAAAATGGGAGAAAAAGTATTTATTAAACATAATTGTTTTTTTTTCATATCGTGGTGTTGAAACTATCCTGACTTGAAAAGTGTGCGGTGAACCAAAGGATCCTTGTAAAAGGATACTATGATTTATAGGAATGATTATATTTCCTTAAAAATGATTGAATCAAAAGATTAAAATTCACCATTATATAATTGTATGTACATGGCAGAAAATAACATTTTATGTTTGAGAATTTCTTTCGAACTAAGCATAGACTTTTCCTTTGAAAAATTTATATGCGTTAGGAAGTTGTTTGTATTGATATCAACAAAACATTTTAAAAACAATCACATGGCTATTTCTAGAATATTGTTTTTAATGTACACAGTGTTTAGCTCAAATTAAGTACAAACATTTATAAAAACTTCAACAAAAATTGTGAATTACAGTAAACGGCACAATTACCCATTCAAATAGAAAAGTATATTAACAGATAATTACATAATTTAGTTTGGATAGAAACTAAAAGATATTGTTGAATATAGTATTTTGTTCTTAATAAAATTTCAGTCGAAATAAGATTTTTTAACATCATCAGGAATTGAAAAGAAAGAAAAAAAACAGGGTTTTAGAAACCAAAATAAATTAATGTACGTTTTATATGTATTTAAACACACATATACATATATATATATATATATATACATATACANTATATATATATATATATATATATATATATATATATATATATATATATATATATATATATATATATATATATATATATATATATATATATATATATATATATATATATATATATATATATATATATATATATATATATATATATATATATATATATATATATATATATATATATATATATATATATATATATATATATATATATATATATATATATATATATATATATATATATATATATATATATATATATATATATATATATATATATATATATATATATATATATATATATATATATATATATATATATATATATATATATATATATATATATATATATATATATATATATATATATATATATATATATATATATATATATATATATATATATATATATATATATATATATATATATATATATATATATATATATATATATATATATATATATATATATATATATATATATATATATATATATATATATATATATATATATATATATATATATATATATATATATATATATATATATATATATATATATATATATATATATATATATATATATATATATATATATATATATATATATATATATATATATATATATATATATATATATATATATATATATATATATATATATATATATATATATATATATATATATATATATATATATATATATATATATATATATATATATATATATATATATATATATATATATATATATATATATATATATATATATATATATATATATATATATATATATATATATATATATATATATATATATATATATATATATATATATATATATATATATATATATATATATATATATATATATATATATATATATATATATATATATATATATATATATATATATATATATATATATATATATATATATATATATATATATATATATATATATATATATATATATATATATATATATATATATATATATATATATATATATATATATATATTAAATAACACTATCCATTATCTTATAGATGCATTAAAAGCTTATCAAAGATATTTAACAAGTGTTCATTATCCTTACTGAACAAGGAGTTATATAATGCAATAAATATGTTAGATTCAAATATAATATAACTTTCTGAAATTTATAGATTATTTATGACTTACTTATAAAATAAATAAAATTCTTTACAAACAAATTCTTTGCAAATAAATACATTATTCATCTAAATTTCATTTGAATATCAAATGAATCTAGGAATTAAATAAAGTAAATTCTTTTTTTTTTTCTAAATTTGACCCAAAATAAATGAATAAATCGTAATTTTTAACAAAATGTTAGAACAAAAATACAAACCTTTAAAAATGATAAATCGTTTTACAGAAAGTATTGGTTGAAAATGTTTAATAATATGTAAAGTAGATTAGGAAATTATTTAAACAATGGTATGTCTCAGCTAATACATCACAAAAATGTAACTAAGTAGTGTAAGAAACTCATAATTAATGTTATCATGAAGCAAAACTATATTAAAATTCTATCAATCTTCATATATCACCTAGTTGGCATTCATTTAAAAAAAACTGAATTGGGAGTAATCTTAAATGAGTTCATAAATTGCTACCAAATTTTGTTACCAACCTATCTTTCTTAGATTGGAATTTTTTAAATGATACGAATAGAGATCGTGATAAATGTAACTGAGAGTTGAGTATATTTTGTAATTTTAGACTATCATGTTCATTCAATTACAGGAATGAAAGAAAAAATGAGACTGCTTTTTTATTTTTAAAAAAGGTAATATATAAGCTTATAAATGTTACACTGTTTCTGCAATTTCAGTTTACACTCAATTCTGTGTATTGAAAATAAATTGTTACACATTAATTGAATTTACTGATTAATTCCATGAAGGGATCACTTAAAGTACTCGGTACTTTTAAGTACTAATTACAAATTACTACATATCCTTAAGTAAACATATGCCTAATGTAGTTGATTGTTTTGTAAATCACATATAAATTTAAGATTTTTGTGATATATATTTTTCATTATGCTGGTGATGAGATGTTTAAAAATTTGTTGGTAAGAGTCAAGTAATAATATTATAATTTGTTATATAAAACGCACATTGTTTTCCTCTGAGGTGCATGTTTTCGGAAAATCTAGCTCTTTACCCTCGGCAGTACATTTCAGTAAGAAATTGGAATAAACTGACTTTGAGAATAAGCAAGATAAAGTGAAACCATGGTAACGAAACCGATGAAGTTGTGAAGAGTTTGGAAACCGCACAACCTCGAGGTGCATAATCTATTCAGCTCCTATAAAGTCTATCTTTTAATATATTTTCGGAAAAATCGTTGTTAGAAAAAAATAGTTGAAATCGTTATAAGGTGCCGACTGGATTATGTAGTGGGCAGGGAGCAGATCTTACATCAAAAAGGTCTTGGGTTCGAATGCTGGATAAGGCATGGATGTTATTTTATGCTCTGTACCATCTGTCCTTAATGTGGGAGCAGTAAATGTTTGTGATTTATTTGGTAATATTATTGTTATTAAATTTTTCCTTATTAGTAATCTATTTGATGTAATTAGTGTTATTCGAATTTTATAATTTGATGATTTATTTGGTGTTATAATTGTTAATATAAGTTGCAACACACATTAAGATAAACTTTATATAAAATGATCATAATGTCTGGAAAATTTGCCGAGACTACATAAACTCGATTTTTTTAAGTTACATGTATTATTTTATTTATTACTTTTTGCCTGCAACCCTATATAAAAGTTATTGTTTTTTAAATTTTAAGAAATTGAATTTTTTTTAGAAGCACTTCTTAAAAGCGTAACTGAAAAAACTTTAGGAATGAGAATTCGGTGATGTAACACTGGTCTAAATGCCATTCACGCTATTTACTGACCTGAAAAAAAAATTAAACAATTAAGTGCGTGCGATAAAATCTTAAACAGAATCGTTTGCAATTTTATTTTTAACAATTTTAATATTAAACTAATGTAAAACAAAAAATAAGAACATTTTTCACACCTTTCCTCCGAAGCATTTAATTTTTTTTAAATGATTTTTCAGATAGGAGGGTAAAATGTGTTTGTTGAAAGAATAATGATTTTCAAATGCTTTGTAGATTGGAGTGGTGCTCAAAGGATGGTCATTATACGTTTTCCAGTAACACTTTTCACTCTAGAGGTGAGTACTTAGAATTTCTGAATCATATAGATATACTTTAACTTTGTTTATACTTATTTTGTGGTTTTATGGTTTATACTTATTTAATGGTTTTATTATACTTATTGGTTATGCTAGAGATAGTGATTTAGCATAGTTTATTCTCAAATATATACTTACTTATCATCCAATTGAAAAAAGTGCTTCTTCCAGTGAATCATACTAAATATTTGTAGCGAATATTAATTTACAATTGACAATTATTTAGTAAAACTGTTAAAAGCTATATAAGTATATTCTAATTTATTACATTTAATTTTCCAAAAGTCGTCAAATTTAGCCATAAAAAAGTAATTTGCTAAACTACTAGAAATTTATATAAACAGGCGTTGCCTCCAAAAAAAGAGAAGGATTCAGCGCGGATTACCATAAACAAGAAATTTGATCCCTTAGAAGTCAAAACGTAATGTCACCTTTCGTTTTTACCACCACTGAGCTGTTTAGTAGCCCGATCATAGTGACATCTATCTTATTTTTCCTCCACTGCACTGTTTATGCTCGTTATGTTAGACTACTAAATTGATCGTGATGAGGCCTTCTTTATTCTAGGAGGTGTTGAAACAGACGGCTGTAACTTTGATAATGTGTCAAAGTTAGCTTTGTCACGAGTTAGCGTGAACCTTTCATAGTGTGCTCCGATAATTTCTTAAACCTAGTACAACTGGTTTGCCAGTGGCAATAAGACAGTGGTTCTCCAATGAATTCCGGCCCACTGTGTAATCCAGGGAAATGAGGCTATCGATTTCTTGTCAATAAATGTTGCCTTTGTCCTCCTGAGACTCAATTTCAGATTTTCTTTTAATAAATGTCAAATGTCTAACATAGATCATCAAAATTCTTCAGGGACTCCATTCGCGAGGAACTCAAAAACCGCAATTCCTATGAACCATGGCTTAAAGAGATTCTCAATCTTCCTCAGTGGTCTAGGATTAAATCTCTCGCCATGTTTCATCTGATATCTAGAAACGACTGCCTCAATAAGCATCTATATCGCATCAATATGGTTCGGGATCCTTTTGTACCTTGTGTGATTTCCACAAAGAGGGGGATTTAACCATTTATCTCACGTGTTTAGATCTCCTGTTGTTTTACGGTCTTCAATCCGGGAATGCTAGCTGGACTGACTGCTCGCTTTCATCTACAGATAGATTGTTTTCTTTTTGACTGTCAATTTTTTTTAACGTGTCAATGGAAATAAAAAAAATAATTATATAAAATATACAGTCAGAGTGAGATAAAAAATGATTACAGATCACCCTCACACTTTTGCAGAGCTGAATAGATTTTTACTCTGTGCAGAACTATGGCAATATCTCAAAGAAATACTCTTATAACAGTTTACGTTAACCCTTTCGGATTTTACTTATTTTGACTCGTAACATATGCCATGTATCTTGAACGAAGGACTCTTCTTCTTATTTATTTTTCTTAACTTCATTGGATTAACCTTGTGCGAAAAACCCCTAAAACTAAATTTCATAAAATTCTGACATAAAGACAGCTGCCGAAACAAATAAATATTTGGCATAAGAAATTTTTTTTAAAAAAAGCAGTCTTCCATTTTTGATATTGGTAGAAACTGGTTTACTAAAAATGTTGCTTCAAGTTGTTTGCTGTCTAAATTTAGATATAAATACAGAAAAAATAATGCGACAAAATCTTTATAAAAGTGATAGTAGTAAGATTTTCTTTTTACAATTTCAATATAGGAAATAATGTATTTTATTACTTTTTCTCTGCCTGTTTGTCTAGAGAAGTTTTATCTTAACCAAAGATTATATTCCTGAAACTAAGGCTTTTTTATCATTTAGTTCATTCATATTAAGAAGGAAACTTACATTTTTTTCCCTCGAAGGAAATATCTTTTTAAAGACTGAAAAAGACAGACATAAAACTTTACTTGGTAGCTCCCTTGCACGACTAAGGTTGGATATGAACAGGGGTGAAAGCGAGACGGAAAAGAGGAAAGGCTGGTAGTAAAACCATTTCAGTTATAGCTAGTTTTGGGGAGGAGTTTACTTATTCTTTTTTAAATTTTTCAACAATATCTACTTTATCTTGGAAAAGAAGCAGGTTTTATATATATGCCAGAATTATAAAAGAAATCTTGATAGTTACAGATATTTCATTTTTTTCGAAAAAAATGCTGGAATGAAATGCTTTACGTACCAGGTATTTCTCTTTTCCGTCTTGCTATATAAGGGCTTTCACCCATGGATATGAATGAGTTTTTCAATGAAAAAAAGATATAAACTGATTACACATTATTATTATAAAACGGAAAATATATTATAATTATTATTATACCAATTATTTTATGATTAGCTTGCATCATATAAAATGAAGAGCAAGCTTACATTGCCATTCTGCTAGATAATTAATATAAAGCTTCGAATTTGGGTTTGTAATTAATCGATTACAGATTTTGAAAGATTAAGTAGTAGTTATCTTAATAAAAGTCCATCTAAAATTAGCAGTGAAATCATGAAGTTTGGATAGATATATAACTTATTTTAATATTATCATTACTTTCATATAGTATTTCATTTATTACTTCAATGGAAAAAATGCTGCTTTAGTTGGTATTTATTACCAAAGAAAATATTTGGATTTATCTATTGACTCGTTAGCGAGTCATTTTTCAAGAACAGTTAATATTTTTATGAGGAATTAAACGGAAAAGTTAGCATTAACATGATTTAGTTAATACAATTATCTTGGTCAAGCAAATCATTTGCGTTCGTCATAAAATATCAAGAATAAAAACGTTATACTTAGAGATAAAATATTAAGCACAATCTTTTTTTTATTTGAAGTAATTAACTACTATAAAATAGGAGCATCGTTCATATGATTTCAATAGAAAAATTTGGGCGTTGATGTGCAAATCATAATCGGTATTTATTTTATTACTTGAAATCACATTGTAATTTACTTGTTTATTTAAAATTACGAAGAGTAAATAAAGAAATGTCGTAAATGATAACTACTCTTGTTTTTCGAGAAAAATTTCCTATTCATTAAAGATTCATTTATCATGAAGGAATGAAATAAAGCAAGAACGTAACAGACAGAAAAAAAAAGTTTATCGAGTGCGTTTTATTTCTATGGGTATATTTCCTTTATTTATCAACATTTAATTTAATTTAATATTAACATTATAGATTCCTTAATTCCGATCTACGAATTTTAAGCATTCCTCTAATCTCTGAAAAGTGCCAAATTTAAATTTAGTGCATCAATAATACAATATATAATTACTAATATTTTTTTTCAAAGAAATATAAGTCTCTTAAAATATTAACTAGTATAATTGATTGATTTAGATTTTATAATTGTATTCTTATTAACAAAAAAAATCTGCTCATTTATATATACGTATATATATATANTTGTTAGCATTCATTTCTAAATTTAGTACGCTTAGTTTTAATTTTCTTGATGAGCCTATTTAGTTCCAATTTGTCTTCCGGGTTCCTATTCTTTTGTCATAGTTTTCTAATATGATTTTTATATGCTATAATCTCTTTGGTGTTATAAGGCAATTTTTGATGGTTATCGGTGGAGGGTACTTCTGTAGTGGATTCTTCCAGGGTTTTTTGTATATCATTAGTGAGGAAGTTAATATTATTATTAATATCTGCAATATTATTTGGTGGTTGATAATCATTTTGTAGAGCAAGGATATTATGAAATAAGTCCCAATCAATATTTTTCTTCTTAATGATATTAGAGGAGTGTAATTGTAAGGTTGCAATTACTGGAACATGATCACTAGATAACTCTGTGACCGTGTAGCAACCAAAGTTAATATTATTATTAAGTATGAAAAAGTCTAGTAAGTCCGGTTGGTGTTGACCATTTACAGGAAAGTAAGTCGGTTCAGTTGGAGCGATGACCGTTAGGTCCATATCCTTAACTAGTTCATGCAGTTTGACTCCGTAGCGATTATCCACTCGAGAACCCCAAATGGTGTTCTTTGAGTTAAGATCACCACCTATTATACAGTTCATATCATTTGGAATCAAGGTGTTTAGTAGTTCTTTCGTGGTAGTGTTGGTGGGTCTATTATATATGGTAGTGATTTTCAGGAAGTCTTTGTTATTCAAATATAAAAGAATAGAAGTCTCTTCGTATCCATCACCAGTATTAGTGCTGTTTAGAATAGTATTTAAAGATTTCGTTGCAATGATCGCTCTGAATTGTATATGGTCCGTCTTATATGTGTTGTAATTAACAACATTCAGTTTATTTCCAGCATTAGCATGTGTTTCAGTAATTAGTGCAACGTCTATATCATGATCAAATAAAAAGTTCGTGAATTCAATAAATTTCGTGGTTATATTCGCAGCATTCCATAACATTATCTGTAATGGCTTTTTTCTAATTATGTTTCTATCCACGAGGCTGTTCATAGATTTCCTCTGTTATTTTATCTACTACCTCATATATATGCGGTATATATATATATTTATATGCGGTTTGTAAATTTTTTATAGACTTTAGTTTGAAAATTTTGGGTAAGAAAAATTAAATTTTAAATATTTTGAAATATTTTGATATTTTCATTTACCTTCATGTGAGTTTACCGAAATCTCTCATTATTTTTTTTTCCATTTTACATTCACCTCAATTCTGAATAACCATTACTTTCTTAAAGCTTTCCTTAAACCATGATTTCTTGTTTTTCATTTTAAATTTTTAGGCAGATAAATTTATTAATGTGGTTTTTTCCCCTTAATTTCGTATTTTAATTAAACAACAAAAAAAGCTGCTTTTTCGGGACCCCTCCTTTGAAATCGCAATTGTTAAGGATCTTTACAATTCTAAATTTATAATCTTATTTAGAACAGTCTTTTTCTTTTCAACTCTATAAGAATTCATTCCTTTGAAATTTTGTTTTTGATATTCCGTTAAGATAAAGAAGTTTACAGAAAACAGAAATAATAATCTATAAGAAA